AGATATTGACATATATAGAGAGAGAGAGAGAGAGATGAAAAGAGTGGAAGACAAATAGAGAAACCTAGAGACCAGGGGTGGACTGACAACTCATGGGGCCCCCGGGCAATAGGGGATCATGGGGCCCCTGTGTCCTTGCCCAAACTCAAAAAAACCTATGAAAAAGGTACCAGGGCATCTCATGGGGCCCCCTACTGACCCGGGCCCTCGGGCAGTGCCCGAGTTTCTAAATGGTCAGTCTGCCCCTGCTAGAGAGACACATAGTAACACGGAGACAGGGAGAGAAAGAGATGGACTATTTGTATAGGTGGGAGTAGCATAGTGTGATGTTAGGTCTCAGCCCCCCCCAAGTCTCAGTGCTATGCCATCCCACCATTTGGCAGATTTATGAGGGTTACAGCCGAATGAAGATGCATTTTTCACGGGAACACACAATGCTGTTTAGATTATGACAGAATTATCTTCTAAATTGTGCAAAATAGAGTTGTTCTGGGGCTGTGAGTTTACTTTACCCCACTGTTATATGTTGTGCCTGGAGTTGGGGTTGAACCACTAGCACAGCAGTTGTGACAGAACAGCATATACTGGTTTTGGAATGAGAGTATGACACCATGCATTGGGGTTGAGTTTTTACTAAAGGTAAATATACTTTGCAAGTGCAGTTGCTCCAGAGTTAAGTGCGCTCTGTGCTGTTGTTCATGAGTTAAGTAAATAAGGGGCGCTTGCTGACTGAGAAGCTAAGACCTTCCCATCATGTACAAGCAAAAATTGCTGGTTTTTTGTTGTTTTTTTTTTCTTGCATGTGATTGTTTATTCTTTGCATAATAAAGCTTTGCCTCATTTACTAAGCTTTGAAGCGGCTGCACTTGCAGAGCTCACAGTCTGTTTCCCATTAGTAAATCAACCCCATTCAGTTTTAGGAATTCCAGTGGCGGAGATCTTGCATAATACATGAACCTAATGTTATACAGAAAATATACAGAAACACTCTAGTAGATAAATTCATTTGTGTTTCTGCAGAGGGCTTTTCTCTGTGAGACTTCTTAGCAGCTCACAGCCACAAGGTGTTAAAATTTTGAACAAATACTGAACAACAGTGACATTTGTTCCAATGCCATGTGATCGAGTTGTGTTTGCATAAGCATGACCCCTTCAAAAACCCCATTGTTTGATATTTAGTGTGTTTAAATTTGACCTGTGTTCCTCTATGCGTACATCATTGTGTTCTGCAGAGCTTTTCTTGCCTTCTTCAGCCACAACCTAGTTTTAGATTTGACACCAAATACGGTGAGAAGCTCCAGTGATTGGAACAAGTTCCTTGTTGGGGATTTCCTTCACAGTGACATATCGCCTCATACATTTTTATTACTGCGAAACACAACTTCCCCTTGTATGTTATTATTAAGGTGTTCTGTTTATGCAACTGTCATGAACAAAGGGCGACTATCTCACTTTGTGCAGTCTTATCAAAACAACTCTGTTTTCTTTCTGTGGAAAAAGCATGCAAAAGCGGCTGCCTTCTGGTCCTGTAAAAGTTAAAGTGGATCTGTACCCCAACAACTTGATAAAAAAATAATGTTCTTTAGCAAGGAACATACATTCTTCACTAATAATTATGCTACCAAAATTATTGTGTGCTGTAGATTTCCTCCAGCATTGCTTCTAATTTTTCTTGCTGGAGGCATTTTGCTGAAGCCCACTGAGCCCCTGAGCAGCAGTAAATCTTTAGGCTGTCAGCAGATCGGCCTGTAGTGGCTCCAATTTTTGGCACATTGCTGAAAAAAATAGAGAGCAACTGAGCATGTGCAGAGCAGGGAGGAGACAGTATATTACTGGGTTTCAAACAGCATAGGCACTTATTTTTAATGTTTTACATAGTTATATCATGCAATAGAAGCCAGCCTGAAGTGGTCTATCAGGACTTAATTTTCGGACTAAAGTTCCACTGTAAGTTCATATACACTGATAAAATTTTTTCAGTTCAGCAGGGACTGGTTGAATTTCAAACAGTGTGTGGCCATCCCTGCTCTACAGAAGTTGATTGTTTAACTTCTGTTGATGGGATATGCTGGAACCCACGTGGAAGAAAAATATATTTTAAAAATATTCTTCCCAAATAAATTGGCATTGTGTGTGTTTTTATTACATAATATAGGAAAAATATTTTTAAATATACATTTTCAGATATACTGTATGTCTTTAAAAATACAAATCTACATTTTTTGGAATTCATTTACAAAAAATATATATTATTACAAATATTTTTCATATATTTTTTAATGTATAAAACACACATTTCAACATGCAGTGTGTATGTGTGTGTGTGTGTGTGTGTGTGTATGTATGTGTATATATATATGTATGTATGTATGTGTAATATATATATATATATATATATATATATATATATATATATAGAATATGGCCAAAATTGTAGTGTTTCAAATATATGTCAATATATTTGGGAAGAATATTTTAAAAATATATTTCAAAATATATTTTTCTTCCATACGGGAATACTTGATGAGCAGCTGCAGTCGCTGATCAGTGTATATTGGCATTGGCAGTGGCAAGTCTTGCTGTCCTAATACAGTGTCCCTGAAGGGTGATTCCTCCATCCACACAATCACACTGAATTAAAAAAAAAAATGAAGATTCTATAGCCAGTTTAAAGTGGTTATAAAGGCTCAAGGTTTTTTTACCTTCATGCATTCTATGCATGCCCCCAGCCCTCCTAATATTTACCAGGTCTCCAGCACAATCTAGTGATGTGCACAAGAGCCTCAGCTCTCTGGGGACTCTCCCTCCTCATTGGCTGAGACAGCAGCAGGAGCCTGCTGTCAATTACAGCCAGTGAGCCAGTGAAGAGACAAATTGGACGAGGTCAAGCCACAGCTCTGTGTGTGAATGGACATCCAAAGAAGCGGCTCAGGAGCGAGCCTGCTTGGGTGCCCCCATAGCAAGCTGCTTGCTCTGGGGGCACTAGGCAGGAGTGAGAGGCCAAGAGCACAGGCAGGGGACCAAAGAAGAGGAGGTTCGGGGCTACTCTGTAAAACCATTGCACAGAGAAGGTAAGTATGACATGTTTGGTTTTTTTAAAATTTCCTTTAATATCACTTCAAGTCCTTGTTTTTGGCACTTTAAATAGTTTGCTTGGGCCAAGCTGGCCCAGATGAACTATTTACTTGACTAAGTGAGGCAGCTGCTGTGAGTTATGTACCATACTGTATGTAGTAAAGGGTACATAGAATACGCTGCTCTGTAATCCACATTGTTTCTGGAAATTTCTCGTCTGTTGCCGGAACAGAATTACGTTAGGCTAAATGCTTCTTAAAAAACTCCAGACTGCTGCAAGAACAAAGGGCAGGCAACACATACCTGCAGCTGTCACGGGTGAATCTCTGCCCTTCCTGATAGACAATAGATAGAGCTTCAGCACTTCTGCATTATGTGCCACTAGAATGCGAAAAGATCTTTTACTTTAATTTGGTAGGGGAAAAGAAAACGACCAAATACTGGCTCTAAGATGTTTCCAAGCATGATGAAAGATATATTAATCTCAAATTCAGAGTCAGTTGAAGCGTACACTGTACACAAAAGAACAGATTGCAAACAGGTTTGTGGTAGGCCTTCTTCTTTTGGTTTAGGGAGGTCTTATCTGTCGGCCCCATAGAGAAAACCCTATCTTCAATTGAATAAAGCTTTTACAATGAATTTTTCTGTGAATATAATAGGCTGTTGGACTAAAGGTGTAAGCTGGTAGTGTGTAATCATTTTGAAATGTAGTATTTGTCTTCTTTCTGCACCTATAAAAAGAGGTGTAACCAGTAGTGCTTCTTCTACATGTGATCACACCCCAATATGTTTGAAGCCTTGGCTAATTAATTAACATATTACATGCAATATACAATTATAAAGGAGGTGTCACTCTGTTCTTTTGTTCTTCTAAGGCAGTATTTACTGCCTACTCAAATGAACCATTCAATGAATGGATGCATGGACAAATCTATCAGAGGTTTAAATGATATATCTGCATGGGTAGTCTTGAAAGACACTTCTGTTTTGATCCAGAAACTCTATAATCATCTAACCAGTAAAATGGGCTGCAAACAATCACATTTTTCATAAGCACAGTTAAATGGTTGTAGTCTTCACCCAAAGCTCCTTCGATAGGGTGGCTACAAAGGAGGTCATTTGAGAGATAAGGACAGAGTGTTGTCACCCTATAACAGAAGGGGCTTGGACAAGAGCCTTTATGGCAGGATCCCTAGGTATTCTAATGCAAGCTGCAATGACTTTTTAAATTGAATTAATATTTTAAAGCTTATATGAGATTTTAGTGGTTGGGATTACATACTGTATACTTTAAGGCCTCATTCACTCATGGAGATTAGCTGTGTGCCCACGTGCATTGCCGTCTTTTACAGCTGCTGGGTCCCAATCTGACATAGGTTCGTGCGGGTCCAAATACCATCTGATCATGTAACTCAAGAGGAATGGCGCTAAAGCAATATAGGCCTCATTCACATGAGGCTATTAGTTGCATGCCCCATGCAGGACCATCCTTTACAGCCAACCTCCAGTTCTTGTCTATTGGGACTCGCGGCTGCACAATCTCAGCCACCATGTCCTAATATGACATGCCATTCCAAAAAACTCACAAAGGGCGATTTTGGGGAACTGCATGTCATATTGGGACACGGTAGCTGTGACTGTGCAGCTGAGTGTCCCAATAGACAAGAACTGGAGGTTGGCTGTAGAGAATGGTCCTGCATAGGGCATGCAGCTAATAGCCCCATGTGAATGAGGCCTATATTTCTTAAGTGACATTCCTCTTGAATCACATGGTCAGATGGTCCTTGCTAGCAAAAGTCTGAAATAGCATTGTCTTGCCATTTAAAATTCTTGCCTGATATTGTTCTGATATAACAGTTTTTATCTTGAACATTTTATATTTTCCAGGTATACAAGGGCTTTATGACTTGCTGAGAGGCCAAGCCATGTTATGCTGGGGGCACTCTGATTTTGGACAACTTGGAGTAAATCATGGGTCCATAAGTTTGATACTAGAGCCCATCGCCTCCACTTTTTCTCTGGCCAGATGTGTCAGACAGGTGGCCTGTGGGGAAAATCATTCCATCTTTCTGCTAGATGATGGTCAAGTCTATAGCTGTGGTGGGAACAGTGCTGGCCAGCTCGGACATGATCATCATGTTAGGGAGCCAGGTATTGTCTATTATTAATTTAATTTCAACAATCTGTATTTTATTCAAATGTCTTTACAATTTTTCTTTTGTTAGAATATGTTGTGAGATTTATTGGTTAGAAAGAGCTCCATTTAAAATTAAACCCTCAAGGTTTTCAAGGTACATGGTTGAGACCCATCAACCTATCTATGTATCAGTTATTTTGATTCCCCCTCAACAATGGCCACCAAAAACTCCCAAATAATAGGCACAGAAAGCACGCAGATTATAAGCACTGCCTCCATCAGATCTCAGTGGCAGAGCGTGCCGAGTGCGTAAACTGGGTTCCCTTTCTTCTTCCTCCTACTACCCTCTTCAAAAAGAGTGTTATAGTGGGGGCAATGCTATTTGAGGCATACCTTGGTGGAAGTTACTGACCAATGTTGGTCCTTTATGCTTTTCTAGAATGTACGATGGTCCAACTCCAGCTGCTGGACTCTTGTCCCTAGTAGGTAGGAAGAGATTAGGTCTGTGTGGAGTAATGGAAATTGCATTAGTGGTAACAGTAATTACGCACTTTGCACTGAGAGCTCCCGCTATGCATAGAAACTGATTTTTATTAAACCGGGCACATTAACAGTCTGTGCCTACACCATCCATCTACTGTGACTGTCAGCCAAACTGACAGCAGAGAATTTAGAACACGAAGAAGGGAGTCAATGCAGTGATGAATGTTCAGAGAGGTTAACTCAATGGGGTAAATCTTTCTAACAAGCAAGCTGTTTTGGTTTAGTTTAGTTAATGATCACCTCTATTTATAAAAAATGGTTAGAAGAAAAAAGTTGATAGTTAAATAGTACTTGCTTGCTTGGTTCCGTTCCTCTGATACACAGCCAAAATGTTCTAGTCTTGTTTACTTTTGGGATTTAGTGTCGCCAACTGTTATATTAAATTCTCTGTATTATTGCTCAGCCCTATGGGGCATTCTCAAACACCTAAAGACTTGTAGAGGCCAAATGAATGAATGAATTGGCTGAAAATGCACTGCACGCAAATCGCAGAGGAACATCACTGAATTCCTGTGCGACTCCTGGTGTGAGCCAGCCCTTACTCCTGATTTAAACTGTCCTATATATCACAATGGCATGAGATGTTGTATATTTTATATCTGAACATTCAGACTACAAAGAAACAATGTTTCTTTAATCAGTTATTGTGTCTAACTGTGTTTTTCTCAGGTCATGTGAATGCATTAGCAAGTGAGCATATAGTCCATGTGGCATGTGGCCGATCGCATAGCGTGGCACTAAATACCCAAGGCCAGATCTTCTCATGGGGTGCTGGTAGTGATGGACAGCTGGGGCACTCTACCACTGAACAGTGTATTCCAGTGCCGAGGTATGGATATGTGCAGCGTACCTTTCCGGACAGTCGTCGTTTTGTTAAGATAATTGCTTTGTGCTAATGATACTGCCCTGAGTTTTTGTAAATGTTGATTGTAATTTTTGGGATTTATGAAGGTTTAATGCTTCAGAATTGGCCATTTATTAGGGGTAAAGAATAAGGTTTTACAGTACTGGACAGATTACAAAAACACAAAAATAAATGCACACAGAAACAGAACGTGGCAATTTGATAGGACCTTCTTTCTTCTTCTACAATTCTCTCTCTCTCGTCTTGCACTCTCTCTCTCTCTCTCTCGTCTTGCTCTCTCTCTCTCTCTCGTCTTGCTCTCTCGCTGTCTCTCTCTCTCACCTTGCTCTCTCTCTCGTCTTGCTCTCTCTCTCTCTCTTTTTCAGTTGTTGCCATACCACAGTGCTTCTAAGTTATGTGGTTTCGCTCTGCCTCCTGCCCACAGTCTATACTCCACTTCATCAAAACTCTTAATGCATGCTCCCAGAGACTACTGATAGTTCTATTTCATAATTCAACATATGCTGTATTTTGCTGAAAATGCACCGTGTTCACTATGTGCAGGCCACATAACCAAAGATGATGCTTAGAGGTATCCAAGGTGTGGCAAGCTCTTACAAGTATTACTGCTGAGTATGGGCTAAGCATAATATAAAATCAGTCTCCCACTGCCTCAAAGATTAGACACAGAGATGTGAGCGATGGTCTTTCAAGCTCAGATTTGTCCATAAACAGTTATACTTTCTCTACCAAACAATAATTTAGCACTATATCATTATCTGCCAAACCTGGATAGGATGTTATTTTGGACTTCTTGTAATTTTATCTCTTTTTTTTAATATCTTTATATTTCGGTAAATATGAAATATTGCATATTAATGTGTCTTAATCGCACAACACAGGACGTATGGCTTGTATTCATAGACCGTGGGTTATATGTAGTGATTGGACACTGGCAAAAACTTTGTTAGGGCAGCTCCAAGTGCACGCTCTTACAAACCCACGAACCCCAATGATTATTTTAATTATTCCTTTATCTCCTGACACTTCTATCAAGAACTGACTGCTTATTACTATGGGCTATCTAGCGGTTTCTGGATCGGTAATTCTCGGTGTATATCTTGGGGGACCTGCCTGAACCCCACTGTGTGAAGCCAGTCTGCAGTGTTTGCTTCAAACGCCGGATTCTGTGTTAGGCACCAAGTGCAATGTTTATAGCTAGCTGCAGGGTTCTATACAGATTCAGGGCCGTCTATGATTCCCAGAATTTGAAGACCCTCTTCAGGGGTATGTCCACCGTGACAGGTGATTCCTGGACCCCTAATGGGCCCAGATACATCAATAAAGTAACACAGGGTTCCCTGTATTCTAGCACCAGTTACTGGCTATTAATGAACATCCTGCAGCGCTTGGCACAAGGGGTTGAGTACAAAATCTGGTTCAGCTCTGCATAGAAACCAGTCAGCTTCCAAGTTTGATTGTCCAAGCTTAATTGAACAAGCTGAAGTTAGAATCTGATTGGCTACCATGAATCAAGTCCCCACATTCTGAGTGCACCAGTTTTAGTAAATCTCCACAACAATGTAGATACATAGGATTGTGGAGATATTCACTTTACTATGTTAAACCGTATTGTAATTGCCTCAAAAATGTTTTTTTTTTTTGTGCGTTAAGTAATATTTACGTATTTTTAAATTTGGTGATTTTTTTTTTTTTTTTTTTTTTTTCCTCCCATCCGGACATAGTCCCAGGAGGATGATGTAGTTGTGACATGGCTTCTGGCTGTCTCACTTCCACCCACCATACTTACCTTTATTGCACACGGCACAATACTGTACCTACTTGTTGCCTTCTTCAACAAAGACGCAGCCACAGGAGCACCGTAAGCACCTGAGTTATTGTGACTCCTGCATTCCAGGCATGCAAAACCCCATACCTTCCACATCTATTCCATGAGTACCCCACCAGGGAACCCATCCCTTTAGCAGTGGAAGATCATAGGCACAGGGGATCTGGCCAACTAACACACATTTTAGCTAATGGCATGTAGAAAACTCAGAACACCACTCAAGGGTGATAGCTGTTTCCTTGTCCCAGTATATGTCCTAATTTGACACCGCTTCCCTCCTCTGACTCTAGTTCCCTTACAGGCATGAACAGTGCGGCCTATCTGACAGAAGATTTCTCTGTCACTGTGTCTGGATTCTTTGGAAAACTTTTGGCACTCTTGGAACCTTTGGTTTCCAGGAGCCAAAACCACAATGGGGATATGGAGACTGTATTAGAAGCTGCAGAAGCTTTTTCAACCCTTGCATTTTATGAGCCACTAGCTGTGGCTTCTCAACAAATACTCTCGACTGTGTAGATACACTGATTGATGTTGTGTGTACTAGTCTTTGCTCAGCAGCATCTGAATATACAGCCAAAACAAGCATCTATGGGCAGTAAGAGGCTAGCAAAATGAAAAAAGACCTTTCCCATTCATGCACAAAGTAAATGTGCATCACATGGGCATTGGCCTAATCCTGAAAGGATATTCACTGCTTCTGAGGTTTTTGCTGAAATTTATCCTATGGAAAAATAATTTAAGAAAGATTGGGCTGTTCCAGTAGCAGATCCTACCATTTGAGTCCTCCATATACACTTTTGCAGTTCCTTTTGAGGATGCTCACTCTTCTGCCAACCCAATGCATTGAAAAGTCCGCTTTCCAGCCCTCACGCCTAGATCAGAGGGGTGATCTCTGCACCCTGACATCTTACAGAATCTTTGTCAAAAGAGGGGGAAACCGGATGTGGACATCCTGGGCCCCAGGTTCAACAACAAATTGAACATATTTGATGCCAGGACCAGAAATCCTCTGGCACTCACAGTAGATGTCCTGGTGATTCCTTGAACTCCAGCAACCTGGTGCTCCCTGTACCTCAGAGACCTCCCTGATTGAGCTGATTAGAGATATCCCATTACATCTGTTTAGATGTTTGTAGAGCTGGCAACTCTTTCTTGTAAAGAACATTTCCGTGTATAACACGGGGACAAGACCAAAGGATATCTTTCCTTTCTACCTCAATGAGGATATTGTTCTTCCCTTTGTCCTGCTTCAAGTCATGCCAAGGAAATTTCCCTACAATACTTGGATATTGCAAGGGCTGTCAGGGTCTACCTGGTATCTCTTGGGTTTTTCAATATCAAGTATTTGCATCCCACATTTGCAAAGCCACCAACTGGTCTTCTCTCCACAAGTTCTGCAGGTTTACCGTGTGGATGTGTAAGCTTCAGATGATGTGAGCTTCAGCTGAAAGGTGCTTCAAACTGTTATCTGAATGTTTTGAGTTCCTTCACCCTTGTTTTTGTGGGCCCTTTCACATTTCTGTTTGCTGCTTTGTTGCCCACCCCTCAGCTTATTGCTTTGGGATGTCCCATGGACTGTGAATACAAGTTCTGTGTCCTGTACTTTACAATTAAGATAATAGAAATTTTAACTTGCCTGTAAATACTGGATTCTCACAGAATGGATGGGGTTATATGAGTGTGCACATTGAGAAGCCCTAGCAATATTTTTGCTAGTGTCCAGTCACCTGAAGGTAGCCTGCATATAATCCATGTACTGTGCTCCAAGATAAGGAATTTACAAGTAAGTCAAAATTCCTATTTTTGCATTCATTTTTTAAGGCATGTTGGGGAAAGTTTAGCTAACCCATAGGACACTAGGAATTCTTTGACTTGTATAAATTTTAATGTGTAAAACCAAGATTGTGGGCGTGCCACCATTTGTGTGATGTAATCTCTCATAGCATTAAGTAACCGTTCTTTCAATGACTTGGCAGTGACATTATTCTGTCAGACAGAGAAGGGCACATTGGGGTGAGCCAAATGAGTGTAGATGCCAAGGCTGCAGATAATGCAGAAGGTTACCCAATAGCGAAATCTGGAATTCCCCTTTCAGAAAAAACCCTCTTGGTAAAACCCTGATATGTGCGTATTATTTGCAACATTCCTATGGTGACAAAGTCATCGTACAATAAGCTGAACTAGGAAAGCCAGTGAATGAGACAACATAAGCTGAATCACTGGGGAGGAATAACATTAAAGATTTGAAATGATAGCAAACCTTTAACAGAATCTCCCTGAAATATTTATTCTGGTATAAACCTATTTAATCTCACTTGATCTACTTATTGCTTAAGCTGTATTTACGGTGTATCTGAGACCTTGCCCTAGGAAAGGCCATTTGTGAAGTTTAAAAAAAGGAATTAGAGTATGACATTTGGCAAATGGTTACATAAAGGAGTTAAAGCGCACAAGTGTTTACATACAGAATAAGAAGCTGGCAATGTTCTTACACTGAAAATGAAAGTAGAGATGAAGGGGGAATTCCATTTCGGAGAAAAAAAAAAAAAAAGTCCCATTACTAAACATTCAACATTTTCTCCACAACACCAGGCTTTGTCTGTCTTGTAATGATAATGCATTTCTGAAATGGGTGTGGAGGCATTACAGACCTGTTCATAGAAGACAGTATTATGGGTAAATCATACCACACCCCAACACTGTCCTAACAACCAGCTGTAGCCATTATTCATCAGTCTCTGTCTATAATGCTGGAATTCCGATGATCACACATTTTCAAATATATGACTAATTACAAAACTGTTTGTTGTAAATGATTACCTTTACATCGGATTCCTTTAGAGTTTATCTATAGCCAAATTGTTTTTTTTTTTTTGTTTTTTTTTTAGATCAAGTACAGAAAAGCTGGCCATACATGGATTGAAACTTGGCCAGTTCACCAGGGAGCAGCTGAATTTTAATCAATTTAGGGCTACTGTAGTTGAATAGAAGACGATCTACCAATTGATATCTGTTCAACCACTCTGTCAGATTTTAGCCGCTTGATCAGTACTGAAGACTACAGCCTGCAATGCTGATCTGTGTATTCTGACAGTGGGGAAGTCTCCCCTCTGTCAGAAGACAATGACACAGTGGGGAGCATTCCTGCATTCACCTCAAACGTGTGGATGGGGGAATTAGGTCATTTTTTTTTTTTTTTGTTCAACCCATTGGTTGAACAAACAAATCTGGCAAATGTATGGGCAGCTTTATACAGTAAAGCTGGCTATACATTGTTAGGGTTTTTTTTTTTTTTTAATCAGCCAATTTGCTGAATGGGGAAAAACTAGCAGATTCCTCCATCCACCTTGTGTAGATGTGTAGATGGAAGAATCCCGCATTCGAGGACATTGCATTCTGACAGTGGCTCCTGCTGCTGTCAGAATACACTGATCAATAGCTGCAGCAGCTGATTGAGCAAAAATTTCCAGCATGTCCCTTCTATAGAAGTTCTTTAAATAATCAATTTCCCAGTTCGGCTGTGACTAGCCGAATTTCAGTCAGTGTGTGGCAGTCACTGCGCAACAAAAATCAATTGTTTGAACGACTTTTTTCTAAGGGACATGCTGGTAAATTTTATATCAATCCGTGTATGGCCAATTTTAGAAACCCTATCCATTTTTTATTGTCGTCTGTGACCCCAATGGATAGATTTACACTCCTGTTTTATCTTGGTCCCATTGCCATCAGGACAGGAGGCAGTGGGTAAACCAAGAAAATGTCACCAGTTTTGGGGATAGGTGTCCTTCACAACTGAGCATTTTTGCACAGAAGTCTACTGGCAACAATGCTCAGCCATATGAATCCTATTCTTTTCAATACACGCTGTTCACATCTCTACATTCAGTTGCTCGAAATGGTACAGTGACTTTAGTTTGAAGCTGTGTCTCATGTTTTGGCACCATAGACTTCAATGTAGGGGCCTGAAGATGCGTGAAACAAGCATGACCAAACGTTCACTTCTGCTCTCCTAGGAGCTTTGATACACATGAAAAAATTCCTGTAAAACACTTCAAAACACATATTTATGCATGCAAAAACAAAAACCACATACAGGTGCTTCTATAAGTACTTACTAGGTGTGAATGGAGCCTCAGAGGGGATTTCAACTCATTTCTTGCTTTTATCTACAGTACAGGAAGCAAAAGGAAATCTCCCAAACAGAAAGTGTAAGACAAAATAGAATTGACTAAACATGTCCTTCGCTATCCGAAAATATAAAAAAAATATTGGCTGTACATTTTAAATGACTAGCCCTTGGTATATCATGTGTGTCATTGACTCTGGATGAGTTTCTTCTTCATGTGGCATCTCAATTCTGTCCACTTACCACAGTGGTTATGAGGGTGTTTAACTTTGATCTATTCTTTATTTTCTAATGTACATCATAAAGAATGTAACAGAAGGAAATTGACCCCTATACCGGTTGTAACAGAAGTGGGAATGCACGATGGGAAAGTATTGCTGGGAACTCCTGCTGGGTGAGTGGGTGATAAAGCCTGCCAGTATAGAAGAGCACATGGGGGGCTGATTTACTAAACCTGGAGTGTGCAAAATTTGGTGCAGCTCTGCATAGAAACCAATCCGCATTAATTTTTTTTTTTGTCAAAGCGTAATTGAACAAGTTATAAGCTGGCTACCATGCACACTTGCACCAGATTTTTGCACTTTCCAGATTTAGTAAATCAGCCCCCCTTGTGCTCTTCTATACTGGTAGGCTTGATTTGTGTATCAGAGAGTTGCTAGCAAAAGGGCATAAAGTATATGCACAAGAAAATGAATTTTCACATCCTGTTTTATAAGTGTGTGCTATCTACCTTGAATTGTGCAATTCAAGCATTTGATTTCCTGTTTCCAGCTTCTTTTTGTTGAGCACAAGTATATTCTGACTTGAATCAAGCAAATAAGGGACCTTTTTAATAATAGGGGAATTTGTGGCAACCAATCGAAAATCATCATTTACTGCTTGATTTAAACTTGCAGAAGTTGAATTGGTTGCTTCTGGTGGACATTATGGCCTATTATTCTACAAAATTGTGGTTAATGTTTAGGGATTTTGCTTTATTTAGGAATTCTGTTTTAAACCTAAACTTACAGGACATTCATTAACCCAGTTTTTGCAAATTTCCTTGGTGCCGAAATTGGACAAATCATATTGTTTCCGTATGTGTGGAGCCTAGACTTCTGTTTTGTGTTTTGAAGTCCTTCTAAAGGTTCTAAAAGTTTTGAGTGTTGTCTTGTTTGTTCAACATCAGTTTCTCTTGTTTAAATTGTATATGCCAGGATATTTTTATAAGATAAGATCTTACCCTGCAAACATTCAATCCTTTGAATGTATTATTTGCTTTTGTAATTTCCATTCTGGTGCATTTCTTCTGTTCAATAAGCATATTAAAGCCATAGCTCCCATATTTTGGGTACTACTGAATTTTGAAACCTGAGTCTTTTTATAGGTTAATTAAGAAGTTAAATCAACAGAAGATACTGCAGGTTTCATGTGGAAACCAGCACTGCTTGGCTCTTTCAGATGGTAAGTAAATAAGCGCACTGCGTTTGTTAATCTAGAAATATCAGCTATAGTTCTTTTTTTTTTTTTTTCCGAACAAAGTTTTTTGGTTTCAGAAAAAAAAAAGCTGTGATCCACTTTGAAGATTGGAATCTGTGACTCTAATAATATGAACAATGACAATGCATAACGTGTTTCAATCAGTGATGTAGACAGGGTTGATAATTACACTCCCAATGTCTATTGAGTTTGATTCATCAATGTTTATTCTATCTGTACTTTGCACAAAGTTTCACATGCATTGCAACTCTTTGAGCAGTTGGATGATCCCATCTTCCTTGACAAAATAAAACAAATTGTAGACAAGCCATCTCATATATTGGAGTAAGGTTTGTACCAGAATCAACGTACAGAGACTGATACTTCCGTGATTCTGTAAGGAATCCTGATTGCACTGTCTATCATGTGCTGCCATGAGTATGGAACATAGAGGTTTTGCAGCCTCTGGAAAATCCCTTACAGCTGACGTTATTTTGTTTGCTTATCTAGGTTAAAGAACTGATTTTTTTTTTCTTCTTGTTATTTACTAAATTAATTGACTGGTTCAGGTTATTAACCAGAACTATTTGCAATCTGAGGTCTGGCAGAAACAAGTTTGCTCTGCTTACCATTTGAATAGTGTGATGTATGATATCTACAGTTCTCTGTTTTGCAATTTTCCATAATAGTAAAGAAAAGCAAGGCACTAAACCACCTCAACCACTGATATCTGAAAATGTCCCAACAGGTCCTGCTGCTATGAGATCCTACTTGAGGATAGGAGCAAACAATAAAAGACACACAAACACAGTGCAAGGACTATGTGGGAAATGTCAGAAATAATGGCAAAGTCTGTACAGAAAAAGCCATATAGCCTTGATTGTCCATTATGGGATCGATCCAGAGCCACACATGACTCAGCGAGAGTTGTGCTATGATGGTGGTAGCACTATAATAAAGTCAATTTCCAATCTTGTGCTAAAGTCCAATGAGTTCCTCATTGCACATTGCAGATACCACAGTAAGCACTTCAGTAGCAACTATAATGTGAAGAGTTATCCTTTTTGTGGATTTATTTTTATTTTCTATTGTATAAAGCACTTATTTAGACTTTAGAGCAAGATTGGACATTGCCTTTATTATAGTGCTGCCACCATCATAGCACAACTCTCAGTGGGTCATGTGTGGCTCTGGAGTGATCCCATAATGGACGATTGAAGCTATATGGCTTTTTCTGTACAGACTTTGCCAATATTTCTAACATTTCCCACAAAGTCCTTGCGCTGTATTCATGTGTCTTATATTTTCCATAATAGGACTATTTTTTTTTATTTCTTGTACAAAAAGATGTATGTTGGCTGCCATTACTTGCTTTTTCTTCCTGCTACATGTCTAGCTGTGCAAGGCCAAAAAAAATGCTTCTACTTTTGGATAGACTATGGAATGGGTAAAACCTTTACAAGTTTATAACTGCGTGGGTCCCGACAGGGGAAATTCATCCGCTGTTTGTCCTAGTGACCATTGTCTCTGGGGAGAACTGGTGACAACTGCCTGATGGGATTTTTCCCCACTTCAGAGAGTTCCACTCACTTCCTGATGTGTTTTCGGGACAGAACGTAAAGGGAAATCTCTTAACAAGATACAAATGAAAAAACAAACAAGGGTTGTAACCATTGCCTATTAAAAAATAGCTTTAGATGTACTTTAATTTTCATTCTTGATCACTGACCGGAGAATAACATGCAGATCATTAGTTCAGGCTTAAATCTGATTTCACCAGCCCTGTATTTGTTGCAGATCAGTTTCTCGGAATGTCTCAGAACAAATTTCCTTTGTGTAGCTGTAAGCTAGATCCTTTGACTGTAGTTATCATGAGTTTATGATCTGTCTTATGTTCAGTCTTCGGAGAAAGATATTATGTTGGTCTAGTGTAACAGCTATTTTCTTTCTACAGCTAATCCCTGAGTATGATGATTTTTTCCAAGTCTGAGTATGATGATTTTTTTTTTTTTTTTTTTTTTTTCTTAAAAACAGCTTGACTGGTCCTGAAAAATGTAATCTTCTCTCATTTTATTTCATGATTTTATCCTTTGTGTTCCAGATGGGCAGTTGTTTACATGGGGCCAGAATAGTCATGGTCAGCTGGGTCTTGGACATGGATTCCCCTCCCAGTCTAGCCCACAGCGAGTGAAGTCCTTGGAAGGAATACCACTGGCTCAGGTGACAGCAGGAGGCTTCCACAGTTTTGCCTTGTCCCTTTCTGGAGCTGTGTTTGGCTGGGGAAAAAACAACTCAGGGCAACTTGGTCTAAATGACGAGAAAGGTAAAGTATCATGTTTATGGTGGGTGGCAGTAGGCTGTTTTGTATCTTGGGGAACCCGGACACTGGCATTTACTAAAAAATGATAGATGTCTTTCCAATGGTATATGTACAGGTGAAGCCAGTAGCGTGTATTATGTTTTATATACACCACAAAAAGATGATATACTAAATAAGTATTAATAATAAGTAATAAAAAGTATTTAATGTATCCCAACTCCCATCCAAAACCTTTCCCCACCCTATCTACTACTAAAAGAAGTTAGAACCTCTGTCAGGTTTTAAACTCAGTGTCCGCATTGGGTAGAATTTCCTTACCTTCCTGTTCTGTCTAACCTAAATCACGTGAGCAGGAAGTGACTGTTGGCTTGATGAAGAGGCCCTTTGTGGCCCTGAAACATCAAAATTATGATTTTGTGACACTTTACAGCTTCTGTCTGTTCCTTGATGGCATCATCAGTTGAATGGTCACTTCTGTACCCCTTTACTGTGGAGTGTAGAGAGTGCACTGGACTACACAATTCTCATGGATAGATTTCCCTTCAGTTCCTCTTCTGTCTGACACTTCTCAATAGAATGGGAGCTGAAATTTTCCAAATGGGAGCACCTACAGTAACAGATATTTGACACCGGTCCCAGATCTTCCACACTGTCCAAACTAAAACAATAGGTTTTGGTTGAAGTTGGGTTCATAGGGAGAGACAGAATTAGAGTGAAAAAGCTGTTAAAGGGCTACCAACTCATCTTAAATAAGGAATGAATCCAGACATGTTGTACAGTATATAATGAACGTTTCTCATTTAGAACAGATATTGCTCTATGCCACACAAATGTTCAGTTTGAAGTTACATGGTCTTCAAAAAGAAACTAGTGGGTATGTGGCAGGATATACCAACCTGACCTCAAACATTCGTAATATCTTCAGTTCTGGAAAGCTAATAGCATTAATGGTATGTTGAAATAGCTTGTATTGAGGCTGGCCATGGATGGCTTAATTAAAGCAAACTTTGCTTCTAGGTTTGAACCTTCCTTACAAATATCAGGCCATTTCTGACCTGCAAGGGGGTGATAATGACATCCTCATGGGTTCAGAGGCACTTGTTGAAAAAGTTACTGTCAAACCTGTGCAAGCTTTGATATATTTCGGAAGGGACAGTTCTTTAGAAGAAAATAAATCCATTGCTTAAAGCTGAACTCTAGGAATTCAGCTACATTGTAAAATATGCCACTTTGTGGACTTATGTCTTTAATTTACAGTATACATTTTTCTGAGTGCGGGAGCGTAACAATCCCTATACTTCTGGCACTCCAATGCTGGACCCTCAGCTCCTGAGGCTACAGAGTTGCATGCAGCCAATGTACCCTCCCCTCACCCCTCCTGCCTATTCACAGAGCACTTTGTAATAAACTCATTCACATTATAGAAAGGCTCCAGTGACGGGGGCAGCAGAGGGGAGGGCCGTGCAGAGATGCTGTGTGTGGGAACACAGCATCTCTTCTAAGAGTCCCATGAATGTGCCAGATGTGAGGTAAAGAGATAATCCACTACCTGGCATGCACCTTGTTGGACTTAACTCAAAATATGCCCGCACTTTTTTTTGATGTGATTGAATTTCTGGAATTCAGCTGAACTCCAGCTAACCTCTAAATTCACAGATTAAAATAATAAGAGGCAGAGATTTTACCTGCCAAAGGATTTGCATTTCTGCTCATTCAGTTCTCTGTTTTACGCAGTCCTGTCTCTCAGCAAGAACGATGACACCACTTTCTCTATAAGTTAGCAGGCTGATAGGTGAGTGAAGGAACAGCAGGAGAGACTGATGAGGTCATTTTTCCTCTTTCTCTGCTTTATTCTCGTTCATTACAGCACTTTGCGTGCAACTCATCTGATTGACTTCTAGTGCTGCCCCTCCCTTACCCCCAGTCTGAGGGCTGCTATACAGGGGATTGCAAGCAGCTGGTCCAAAATCAAACTTGGGTAGCCCATGGCTGTTACTTTTTCTCTGTACCAGTACTGCAGCCTCCATAAGACTTCAGCATTTAAAACTTTTTAGAGGTGTAGAATGCTTGTGTCCCCCATTGTGCACTGTGATTCCTTCCTCTGACCCCTATATCACTACAAAATTTGCAGTGGAGGACACCGGCATCTGCAACTCCCAGCTGGATGGTAGGAGATATGCAGGAAAGGAATGGCACTAGAAAGACAATGGTACCAATATGATTACAAACCATAGGAAACATTATCCAAAGACCATGTGTAGCAGGTCATAAATTCTGTTTATAAAAAGTCCATAAAATTCACGAGAAATATCTGCAACAATAGTGGCAGCTCCCCATAGAGTAAAACAGACCCTGTACAAATTAAAAGGAACACAAGGGGGTGCCAGTCTAAGTGTAGCGATGTTAAGTAATGGGTTTCAATTCGCAACTTACATTAAAAGGAGGTATAAAGGCATATCTCTGTATCAACGGCTGTAGTAGCTTGCGAGCCCGGTGTCATCTGCACGTTTGAGGATGGATGGTAATCCTGTAGCTGGTGGGCTTGTAGATAGATGAGGAACATTGTTATTGGGAATTGTGACTTGACCGTGTTCTTTTAATGATATAAATGTTCGTGCTGCACCGATATATCGACAGCTGAAAAGTATCGGCTGAAAATAGGGTTATTTTGTTGTTTTTTCCGATAGAAAAATAAAAGGTGCCGATAATGATAATTGACTTCAATGTGAAATTGTGTCCCATTGACTTCAATGTGAAATCGTGTCCCATTGACTTCAATGTGAAATCGTGTGTCCCATTGACTTCAATGCGAAATCGTGTCCCATTGACTTCAATGCGAAATCGTGTCCCATTGACTTCAATGCAAAATCGTGTCCCATTGACTTCAATGCAAAATTGTGTCTCATTGACTATATTAGGTACACCTGTTCAATTGCTTGGTAACGCAAATTGCTAATCAGTCAATCACATGACAGCAACTCATTGCATTTAGGCATCTAGACATGGTGAAGATGACCTGCTGAAGTGTAAACCAAGCATCAGACAGGGGAAGAAAGGGAATTTTAAATGACTTTGAACATGGCATGGTTGTTAATGCCAGACGGGCTGGTCTGAGTATTTCAAAAACTGCTGCTCTACTGGGATTTTCACACACAACCATCTCCAGGGTTTACAGAGAATGGTCCGAAAAAAGAGAAAATATCCAGTGAGCGGCAGTTGTGTGGACAAAAATGCCTTGTTGATGTCAGAGGTCAGAGGAGAATGAGCAGACTGGTTCGAATTAATAGGCAACAGTAACTCAACCACACATTACAACCAAGGTATGCAGAATACCATCCTTGAATGTACAACACATCAAACCTTGAAGCAGATGGGCTACAGCAGCAGAAGACCACACTGGGTGCCACTCCTGTCAGCTAAGAACAGGAAACAGAGGCTACAATTCGCACAGGCTCACTAAAATTGGACAATACAAGATTGGATAAATGCTGCCTGGTCTGATGAGTCTCGATTTCAACATTCAGATGGTTGGGTCAGAATTTGGCATAAACAACATGAAAACATGGATCCATCCTGCCTTGTATCAACGGTTCAGGCTGTGGTGTAATGGTGTGGGGATATTTTCTTGGGACACTTTTGGGCCCCTTCGTACCAATTGAGCATCGTTTAAACTCCACGTCCTACCTGAGTATTGTTGCTGACCATGTCCATCTCTTTATGACCACAGTGTACCCATCTTCTGATGGCTACTTACAGCAGGATAATGCACCATGTCACACAGCTCAAATCATCTCAAACTGCTTTCTTGAACATGACAATGAGTTCACTGTACTCCAATGGCCTCCACAGTCACCAGATCTCAATCCAATAGAGCACCTTTGGAATGTGGTGGAACGGGAGATTCACATCATGGATGTGCAGCCGATAGCATCACACAGTTGCTGCAGATTTATCATGTCAAAGTGGACCAAAAGGTGTATCCAACACCTTTTCTATTCTATGCCAAGAAGAATTAGGGCAGTTCTGAAGGCAAAAGGGGGTCCAACCAGGTACTAGGAAGGTATATCTAATAAAGTGGCCAGTGAGTGTATATAACAATATATATATATATATATATATATATATATATATATATATATATATATACATATATATATCTGTCCATTTTGGTTTCGGTTTTTAACCAAGGTCATCCTGAATTTTTGGCCCAGAATTTCATTTCGGTCCACCACTAATAAATGTGTATGATTGGAATATTTTAATGAATAAATTGCCATGAGATAAAATTAACTGAACTCGTTTAAATCAGCCCATGCATGAAATTGAATAACCTGTAGATAAAAGAAGGATCCGAAGTACTGTGCATTACCCAGGACAAACATCACAGTCCAAGAGTTGTGCAAGGACCAGCAGAAATTTGCTCTCCTGTCTTTCTCATGAAGATTTCTGCCTGTCTATAGCTAGCCTAATTTTACTGATCAATTGACAGAATAAATGTGGAGCTAGCAACCTTTGATAGGCTAGAAGCCAAGGACTCTAACATGATTGTTTAATGACTACCAGTTACCATTTAAAGCTGAACTCCAGCGATGATATATTTTGCATACTTACATTGAGCCAGTAGCCTAAGCTTCTATAGTGATGGTGGTGGCCCTCTGGATGCTGTGCTGGGCAACTGCCTTTCTGCATAGTAACCACAGGAGGTCATTCACTTGGCATGGCTACCATTCAGGGAATGCCTTTCATTTTTCTCAATGAATGCAAAGCATTCTGTGATTAGACGAGGTAGAGATCATAACATCATTGCCCCTCCTCTTCACCTTGTCCAATCAGGGAACAACTTGCATTCATTGAAAAAAATGCAAGACATTCTTTGAATGGTGGCAATTCTCTTTGGGTAATACTATGCAGAAAGGCACACACCTGGAAAACCATGGCCATCACTGTAGGAGCTTGGGCTACTACAGCAAATTAAAGCTTCTACAGAGTATGATCAGGTATCACATTTGCATACTCACTTACATTGTGCCCAGTTGGTCCAATGTAGGTATGCCAAATATTTAATCCCTTTAAAAGAGAAGTGTGGGAATTTGAAAAAACAAATATTTATACTCACCTAGATGGCTACAGCATTGATCCACCACTGCAGATGTTCCTTACTGCCTGTCTTTGATTGCTCAGTTCTCGATCTTCTGTGAGCAGAGAGCAGGTGACCCACAGGAGACGTATTGCCAAACATGCTTTGGACATACTTCTCCTATAAGCTTTTTGGCAGTATCTAGTGCTAATGGGAGCACTAGATAAGCCCCTGAAACCATTAAGACCCATTCCTTAGTAACATCTATATTAAGTTTCCTGATTGCAATACTAGAACAAGCTACATTTTTCTTAATTCACTTCTTTAAAGCTAAACCTCAGGTAGATATAAAACACACCATTTATTATAGCTGTGCGTGACATTAAAAATAATTAAATGTATTAAAAATATAATTATTTGAATTTGTCTTGATATCCGGTTGCTGTCATCCCTCGCAAAACAGCACTCACACAGAAAGAGGTCAGGCCATAACTAGGAGCCAGTGAAAAGAGAAGTAAATCATACATACCTAGGTGGATGCAGCATTGATCCCATGCTGCATCTATTTCCTGCCAGCTCAAAGGGTGAGAACTGAATGATCAAACACCCCTGATTGCTCAGCTCTCCCTTTCACTCTGAGCAGAGAGCAGTGACTGACAGTCACCTCTGTCTGCTCTGCCACCCAGCATTCACTGGAGTGCTGGGCTGTGGAGGGGGTGGGAGCAGCTTCTCAGCGGCTTGCTGAGGGCTGAGCCAAGTGTCAGTCCAGACATCTGGGTTGATCCCGACTTTAATGCCAGGATCTTTCCCCAGCCTGGACCGGTGATGTCAGTCTACAGCAAACTTTAGCACGTTGTCAGCTGAAAACGGGGTCATAGGAGTGCAGAACAAACTTTGGCTGTACTTTTCCTTTAAGGTCTGCTGCACATATATGAGCTGTCAGGAGGGGAGAGCAGAGCCAGCACTATTGGTAACTTATCAGTTTGTTGACTCTACTTCAGTGTCTACTTCATAGGCTGCAGATGGATTCCTTTGCAATAAGAGAAAGTGGCGCCACCCTTCCTGGCAGAGGTGTATGAACCATAAAAGAGACTGAACAGAATTTCAAATCTGTTGCCAGATATGACAGTTCACATGGGTGTTTTTTGACTGTGTGTTTTGCTGTCTGCCTGGGATATCCGCTTTAAAAACTAAAGCATCTTAGAATCAAATAGCTGCAAATGCTGAAAAAGACAAAGATCCATCAGAATGAATATATCTCAGATATGATGGATATTGGATAAGCTCAGAATGGAATAATGTTTATTTTCAACATGTGTCAAGTAGTTTCTATTCCCTTTTGCAGTCCGTGAATCACCATGCCATGTAAAGCCTTTGCGCACCCAGAAAGTTGTGTACATCAGCTGTGGGGAAGAGCATACAGCTGTCCTAACAAAGGTAATAGTTAACACCTTCTGTTCTATTCTTATCTTGTTTCTGTACAAGCTCTTCTACAGTAAACTTGTGTCATTGGTTTCCTGCAGACTGGTGGGCTTTTCACTTTTGGAGCTGGAGGCTGCGGGCAGCTGGGGCATGACTCTCTTCATAATGAGATCAATCCCAGGCGTATACTGGAACTGATGGGCAGCGAAGTATCTCAGATTGCATGTGGCAGGTGAGCTGGCAAAGCAGAAACCGATGGCTTATGCAATAAGAAACAGTGTATAAGGCGCGTGAGTCTCGTACTTAAAGTGGTTGTAAAGGCTGAAGATTTTTTACAGTCATGCATTCTTCGCAAGAAGATTAGAAAAAAACCTTCTGTGTGCTGCTCCCCCACAGCCCTCCCTAATACTCCCCTGAACCCCTCCACAATCCAGCGATGTGCATGGAAGCCTCGGCTGTCCCGGTACTCCCTCTCTTCATTGGCTTCCACTGCTGTCAATCAAAGCCAATGAGGAAAGAGCAGGGGGGATGGGTTTGTGCTGTGTCTGTGTGTTTTATGAATGCATAGAGCAGGGTTCAGAAGCAAGCATGCCCCAGTGCCCACATAGCAAGTGACGTGTTATTGGGGGCACTGGCTAAGGGGGAGGAGCCAGGAGCACCGGCAGGGGACCCAAGAAGAAGAGCATCAGGGCTCCTCTGTGCAATACCACTGCACAGAGCAGGTAAGTATGACATGTTTGTTATTTAAAAAAAAAAAAGCCAAACCTTTAATAGCACTTTAACACACATTGACCGCATCTTCCTAAAGCTGAAATCCAGGGAAAATTCAAAGTTACCATTCCAGTGGGGCTTCCCTTGTACTACAAGGGTTAAATAAATACTTGTGCTTGTCTAAGGGAACATTAAAAAGCAGTTTTACTTATGTTGTCCCTCATTCCTACAAGCTTCCACCTCTTTTTACGGCCAGTCCCCCGTGACCTCAATCATTCCATTAATCGCAGGCAGATATAAAACACACCATTTAATACAGCGGAGCCTTTTTAAAAAAATTTTTTTCGGGTCGGCAGCGGCAGGCATTGTGATTGACATTGGATCTATTGCAGGGGACATTCTTTTAGTTTTTTCTTTTAATAAAGGACTTGTCAAAAACCGTGTCCTGTCTTTTTTTCAGTCACAAAAATTTTTTTTTTTTTTTGTGAATGAGTAGGGTACTATGTACCCCATACTCATTTACATGGGGGGGCGGGATCTGGGGGCCCTCTTGTTAAAGGGGGTGTCTAGATTCTGATAAGCCCCCCGCCCGCAGTCCCCAACAACCACTGGCCAGGGTTGTGGGCAAGCCCCCCTGCCCCAAAGCAAACCCCATGAGGGCATGTGGCCTGGTATGGTTCAGGGGGGGGGGCACTGGCTCAGCTTTTCCTGACATGCCGGGCTGCATGCTCAGATAAGGGTCTGGTATGGATTTTGGGGGTGACCCCCATGTTTTTTTTTTAATTTTGGCGTGGGAGTTCCCTCAAAATCTATACCAGACCCAAAGGGCTTGGTATGGATGGGAGGGGGGACCCCACGCCGGTTTTTAAATTATTTTTTAATTGCCTGCAATTCTTTTACATTCAGCTGTCCATGGGGTACCCCGCTGACAACTGAAACATTAACACATGGTTGTCACTACTAAAATACCGTATGACTTGATAAAATAACTCATGCGTTTTGGTTGATGAATTTTTCGCTATACAAAAAGTCTTGCAGAACGAATTAAATTCGTAAACCGAGCTATTACTGTAATTATTAAAAAAAACAAAAAAAACAAAAAAAAAACATGATTTCCTAGACTGACATTCTTTCTAAAGACAGTAAATAAGATTTCTGAAGAAATTTTAATTCACATGCCAACAGCTATATATATACTCCTGGCATCTCCTGTTCATCATTTCTCAAGGCTCAGAAAAATGGCATTCTTTTCAAATTATACAGTTAATACAAGAGAAGCATTTATCTGGCTATCTGTTCTTAGTATTATGAATTATTGGAAAATTTTTAGAGAGCTTAAAAGAGAAATAAGAGATTTCCTTTTTTTTTTTTTTTTTTTTTTTTTCATCATACTTACCTAGGTGGATGCAGCATTGATCTAGTGCTGCATCTGTCCCTCGCCTACTCTAAGTGTGAGAACTCACATGACTGCTGATCACTGAGTTTTCACAGTCCGCTCTAAGCAGAGAGTGGTGACTGTCAGTCACCGTTTTCTGCTCTTCCTCACTACCTAAGAGGCCAAGCCAGATGCCACTCCAGACTCTGGGGTGGATCCCAACTTTAAAGTCGGGATCTTTCCCCAGCCAGAGTGACATCAGCCAACAGCGGGCTTCAGCTTGCTGTCAGCTGAAAATGGGTCTCAGGAGTTCAGAACAAACTGCACTCCTGTGATCCACAGGAGAACTACAGCAAAAAGAGCTTTGGCTGTACTTCTCCTTTAACTGTTTGGTGGTATCAAATGACTGTGCTGCCTAGTGCAAAAAATAAATCTCAATTAAACATCTGCTGCACCCAAAATCTATATCTCCTTGCTGGGGTCAAGGTTTGGTCCTCTTCCAGTGCTCATTGGTGTCCAGGACACTAGTGGGAAAATATCTTCTCAACCCCTATGTAACCAATTAAAATTATTGTGGTCAGTTTAGATGGAAATAAGGTTTAGAAAGGGTCTTGAATTCCAAGCAGATATCTGAATATGCAATTGAAATACACATATGTGAAGTTTTTTACTTGGCAGTAGATTTGTAGTTGTACTCCAGCCAGTTTTGTGGTCTGGGCAGCCCAGACAGCGCAACCAGATATTATGCATATTACTCACCCTTAAAAAAATTATGCATATGCTAAATGTACATTTTTTTTTTTTTTTTTTTTTTACCTTATGCAAAAACTTTTAGTGTGGAAAAACATCGAAGTAAAAAAATTTCATATGTCTAGGAAAAAAAATCACTTAAATACACAAAGCATGAGAAAGGCTCTTCACAGGTTAACTAGCATAAAACAAAGCTGCTCAAATAGTATTGTTCCTAGATGTGTAGGTATTAAATAATCTATGTTTTGTTTATAAATGGAAAAGCAACAGGTTCACGTTAATGTTCTCCTCCTGTGCAGCATATACTTTCACTCATCTACCGATAAATTCAACATCTAGAAAGATGGTGCTATGTAAGCCCAAGTTGAATATTCAATTGGAGCTTACACAGGGCTCACACATGGGACAATGCTGGGCCAATAAACAAGCAGCAAGTCACATGCTGCTCCTTACCTGGAAGTACTTTGGTGTTTTAGTTTCTGGCAGTTGAATGGAGCAGTGGTAGAGTGAAAGAAAGCTGAGTATGTGCTGGGGGACCTGGTTTTTACACTAACCTGTTTATCCTTTATGGGCAAGGACACTTTTGCATTTCATCGTTTGCAGATTCATTGTTCTAACCCCTCCTTCCCCTAGCCCTCCTGCCATTCTTATACTCACTTGTCCCCAATCCAGTTGTGTGGTGTCATCAGTGCTGGGCCTTAAATGCACACTATAATCTCCATTCAATCCTATGGAGAGTCTGTACTATTTACATTAATATATCAGGAATAAAAGAGAAGTATAGGCTGTATAGAAAAAAAACAAAACATTATACTCACCTAGGTGGATGCAGCATAGAATCGATGCTTCATCTGTCCCTCACTGTTCTACATTGAGAACTGAGCGATCAAACACAGATGATCTCCCAGTTCTTCCCCTCCACTCTCACTGAAGCGCTGGGCCTGTGGAGGGAGTAGGGGGGGGGGGCTGGCTCAGGTTCTTGGCGGATCGCTGCGAGGCTGAGCCAGGTGCTGCTCCAGGCTTCTGGGTGATCTTTTCAGATCTTTTCAGAATTACGGCCGGCTCTGTGACGTCAGGTGACAGTGGGCTTCAGCCCGCTGTTGGCTGAACATGGGTCGCAGAATGCAGAGATAACTGCACTTTTGTGATCCATAGAAGTATAACCAAAAAGCTTTGGTTATACTTCTCCTTTAACATATTCTATGTAAACGAGCAAAGAAATGTTATTCAACATTGATGGTTACAATATATATAAACCATTTTATTCTTGCAGACAGCACACTATTGCCTATGTGCCTTCTTCTGGACTCCTCTATGCATTTGGATGTGGAGATCGTGGCCAGCTTGGCACCGGACACAGAAATAATGTCATCTGCCCCACTATGGTTAAAGGGAAGTGGACCACGCACTGCATAAAAATTCCATCCACAATTAGTAAGTAGCAACAGCTTCATGTTGGAATATCAGATCAATAAGGGAAGATAAGGAGTAGCAGTTATTAAATGGGTTTTTCCACTTTCCTCTTAACCATGAAAATGCCTTTGCTGTGTCAGCCTTAAAGCTATTTGAACACTGAGCCTTCAAGGAGTAAATGGTGGTCCACCCAGCCTACTGTTTTATTTAACTAAATTAATTTCTTTGGTAATAAATCAGAACTGAGATTCTTATAATTTTGAAAACTAAAAACTGAGAAGTCCCTCTGATCAACTTGTTTTGATATAAAAATGGTACAATATAGCAGGTACAAAGCATAAAGTTTAATACAACATGGTCCACACTTGGTTTACATTGGTCTGGATAAACCAGTGTATTACAACCAACAGTTGCAATTATAAGCTGTGATGGAAATATGTTATATTCCAGATATCACCGTACATCCTTTGTTTGTAACTATGAATACAACAAAGGAATTAAAGTGAACAATGACAACCACAAGTCCTACAGGTGTTCAGTTTTGATAGATGCATAGCAACATTTTGATATATATACATTGTTATCTCTTCCCTTTCCAATATACACAGTATCATTTACATTCATGATCTGTGGGCTAAAAAAAGGATTGTTAGACTTGAGACCTGTGACACTAGGCCTCTAGAGAGATAAGAGCCTGTTTTTTTATGCTGCTCCTCATGTTCTTTTTGTTGAATCAATGTGCCCTGTATCTTCACATATTTACTACATTTCTTAATTTCTTCATGAAGGAAGGTAAAACAAACCTTAACCCCTGATCACAGTTTTTCTACTTTGGCACATGTTAGTAAAACTGTACATATCATTGCAACTACTTGGTGTATCTAGGTCAGTGATGTTGAACATTTTAGAGACCGAGTGCCCAAACTGCTGCCAACAACCCACTTATTTATCGCAAAGTGCCAATACTGCAATTAAACCTGAATACTGGAGGTTTAGTTTAGAAAAAAACAACTCATACTGTCAGGAATGGACTCGCCAATAGTGGTGGGACTCACCTGCCTTGTGGGTTGCAGTACCAGGACTGGCCAGCGGGTGCTCTCAGCAACCAGAGGCTCACTCCTGCAGTCAGCCAAAACACCTGAGGCTGATTGCAGGAGGTGCATATAAGGAATGGCCAGACTTGCAATCAGGGCCTTGGTGTATGTTTCCCAAGAGCCCCTGTACCTGCATCCTGTGTGCTTAATGTCTGATCCTGCTTGATCCCTGACTCTGATTGAACTCCGCCTGTCCTGACCTCTGCTATTCCTGACCACTCTCCAGTCTGCTCCTTTGGTACCTTGTCTGCCTGATTGTTCCTGACCCTGCCCGTCTGACTACGCTCTGCCTGCTCCTTTGTACCTTGCCTGCTCGTTTGCTACCGACCCGGCCTGCCCGACTACGCTTAGTATTGTTCTTTTGTTATCTGTTGGGGTTTTTTGGTTTGGTTTGTTTGCACTGTGTTTATGTTTAGCCTTGCACTGCGTTTATGTATTGTTTAGTCTTAAATAAATTATATTGTTTATACTATATCTGAAGCCTGCATTTCCCTGTGTCAGTCCACACACCTCTGGTCATACCCGGAGCCCTGACACATACATTAACATCTTTTATCTTAAAAGAAAAACACAACAGAGCTTCCACTGACCACCGGCACAAGGGGGCAAAGTTCCACTGACCACCGGCACAAGGGGGCAAAGTTCCACTGACCACCGGCACAAGGGGGCAAAGTTCCACTGACCACCGGCACAAGGGGGCAAAGTTCCACTGACCACCGGCACAAGGGGTCTATGTTCCAGGGGGCAAGGTTCCACTGACCACCGGCACAAGGGGGCAAAGTTCCACTGACCGGCCAAGGGGGCAAGGTTCCACTGCACCGGCAAAGGGGGGGGTTCCACTGACCACCACCACCGGCAAGGGGGCAAAGTTCCTCTGACCACTGCACAAGGGGGCAAACCTGACCACCAGCACAAGGGGGCAAAGTCCACTGACCACCAGCACAAGGGGCAAAGCTCCACTGACCATCAGCACAAGCTAAAATCTTGTGTTAATAAAAAAATTAATGTATTAAGACTCATGGCCAGTCCAATCCTTGGCAGCTCACTGACCAGCCATGCAAAAGCGTGGACGAGTTGCGGCCCCTGACGTCATCACCTGGCAATGCTTCTCCTTTCTAAATGGCCCCTATGTGTGCTGTTATCTGATGCTCGGCTGCTGGGGCAACTTGGCTCACGTGCCGACAGAGAGGGCCCTGCTGCGGCATGCATGCCATAGGTTCATCACCACTGATCATACCTTGTTTTTTCAGGAGATATTGGGCTTCCATTTGCTGATAAATGATAATGGATATCTCCTGATTTTTTTTTTTTTTTTTTACATTTTTCAAATTTAACCATATATTTCTTGCTATTATAATACCCATCTGCGAAAGGAAAACCAAAATAAATTCTCCTGCTCCTGATGATCACATTTTTTTTTAAATCCTAAAACACACTGACATCGATACTAAATTAGAAATTTTTTTTTGATACTACCCAAAATATACTGACCCTGATCTTTTGAATCTAACGCTAACCCTAACATTGACCTAACCAAACTCTGACCCTATTTTATCTTTTTTATTTATGTATTTATTTATTTTCACACACTTTTGTTTGCATTTTTCCTCTAGCAACAAGAAAATTATACAACGTATCTTTCTCCATTCAAGAGGAGAAAAAAAAAAAACGGGCAGACTGTGCAGTAACTGATCACTGTGAGAGCCAATCAGACGCTATCACAGTGATCAGGTGATCGGGAACCAGGCCTCCTGTTTCCCGATTGTTAGTAGAAGACCTGGAGCTCTCAGTAAGAGCTCTGTCTCTGTGGTGGGAGTGCCCAGTGAAGCATGCTCTAAGCACAAATGTAGCAGCAATATATTTGGCCCCATAGAAGAAGAAGACCCACTTTTGTGAGAGTAATGGGTAATGGGTTAAAGGATCATTTAGAAAACTACATTTTGTTTCCAAGGTGCCAGTGTTTTGGATTACATTTGCGTGCTTTTAATACATATTCTTATAAATTGCCATAAGTGTTGCCTTATTTTCACAGATCCTTCTTCATACAATATTATCAAGCACATTTTCTGTGGATGGGACAAAACGTTTGTACTATGCTCGAAGCCAGAGGTGAGTCATAGGAAACGAATGTTGATTATTCTAATCATGTGTACCTTTATCTGTAACAGCTACTGAGATTAGTATAATAACGCCATGCAAAGAGAAGTAACAATGTGGTATTGCTGATTTGTAGCAGTTCAAAGTAATACAATGTAGAGCCAAAACTTTTTTTTTTATTTTTTAAATAGAGTGGCAAAGTGTTAACCTCCGTTGATTTTATAATTTGCTGTCTGTGTCCCATTGGAAATATATCACCAGCGGAAGATTTATCCTCACCTTGTGGAGACAACAGTAAAATGTTTATAAACAAGAAATGCGAGCGCCTTAGGACCAGAAAAAAAATGTATATAAAAGCTGCTATGCACAAAACAGGTAACCAATATCATCTAGAATCATAAGCGATAGATAGAAAGGTGCAGCGCTAATAATGACAATAACAGGGAATCAATAAAATGAATATATGATAATATAATGATATAAATAGTTCCAATAAAAATAGGATAAGATAAGTTAAAATAAGTAAAGGTGACTCTTGTGCTTTGGTAACTCTGGATCCGGTATAGGTGCAATAATGGTGAAAGTAATGCGCACTCACCGGACGCGCATATTAAATGCGCCTTATATACTTATTCCAGATGTCATCAGCACGGAGAGTGGCCAGGAACTATGTGGTCTTCCCTCTAGAGGGTAGTAGGTCATCAGACAGGATCCTTTTAAGGAATAATTACAGGTGACCCTCGTCCTTCAGGATTCCCCTTTAAGGTGCCTGGTAATGCTCCCTGGATATGTAGGTATCCACTGAATGAGGTCAAGAATGCCCAGTTCACTTTCAGAGGAATCCACACAGAACACAAAGTAGAGCGTGGCATAATGGCGATAAATCAGCTTGTAGTCTATAGAGAGGGACCCACCAATTTAAACTTCCTCCTTCCACTTGGAAATTACAGACATTGTCATCGCACTTGGACACACAGAGCTGTGATGAAAGGTCTCCCGGATAATCTGCTGCTGAGTGTCTTCTGGCTGACAGAGCGACCACTTCCTCTGAGGGACATCATTTTCCGGACAACTTCCTTTTTTTTTTTTTTTTTTTTTTTGCAGCATCCAATAACCTCTTTCCTTCCTCCTCTGCACCGGATTCTCCAAAAGTTGATGTCCCTCAGAGGAAGTGGTATGCTCTGTCAGCCAGAAGAGGGGCTCTGAAGTCACCACATCTTCTGTCGGCTAGCTAACAAAGAAGATAACAACCACTGGGTTATGGCTTTATTGGCGTGATAGAGGGATCAATGGACCACTATCTGTACAGCAGAGGGCACAAATTTAAACTCCATATAACCCAGTACACATAACTTAGGACCTAACGGAAGAGATACTCTGAATTTATTTTGTTCAAAATATCTACCTAATATTTATATAGCTTAGGGCATGTCCACAACCTATGAATGAGAGTCCCAGGTAAGCTCCCACATTTTTGGCAAGAAGCATCTGGAAGTTGCCAATATAAAAATAATTTTTGTGGAGTACAATATACCCTATGAAATATAACCAGTTGCATCAATATTTGTGATAGAGATAAAGAGGTTAAGGAAACTGATTCTAAAATGTAATTCCACTGTTCATCCGACAGATCTCTCAAATCCTCTGCCCAACGTACTCTGCATGGAAGATCACTATCGCTATTCAATGCTGTCAAATGTAGGCTGGTATATAACTTTGATATTGGCCCCTTTTGCCAAGGTAGCTGTTGCTAAAAAATGGAGCAGGGAAGTGCTACTCCATTCCAAGGGTAGAGCATATTTAATCAAATTTTACTTTGATCAGCCTTGAAATAGTTGTATTAATTGTCAGTTTTTGCCATTCTAGTTTAAACCAACATAACTTGATGCTGAAATAAGTATTATAGAATTCTACATATGTATTGTCTCTGTGTGGTTAAAGGCCAACTATAGCCAAAACATTTTATTTTGTTTTGAATATAGTGAGAAAGGGTTAGGTCTCTGTCAGGTTTTAATTTCTATGTGACATTGTTAGGGAGTTTTCACTTCACGTGCTGTCTAGTGCAGGAAGTGATGTGGGATCTCTCCAACTGAGACATTCACAACTGTTATCACAAGGACACCAGGGTAACACTTTCTGTCATTGTGACACCAAAAAAAAAAAAGCTACTCGCTACCCTTTTTATGGTGTCGTAAGGACAGAAAGAGGGAAGATCTCCTTAGTTGAGTCACAGATGGAAATAAAATCTCACAGAAAATTTAACACCGTCCAAATCCATCCAACAAAAAAAAAATATTTGACTGGAGTTACTGGCAGTGTTAAAGTGTTAAACGCATTATATTTCATGCTTTTGAAGGTGGTGAGAGATATATTTACATAGTTTGTGTATTTATGAATCAGCAAGGACAGACCTTATAGGGAAAGAATTGCAGGTTGAGGAAATCTTCACAAGCGTTGCCAAAATGTAGGCTTAAGGTATAGATGACTTTGGATGTACAGCATGGGTAGCACAGTGGCCAAATGGTTAGCACTTCCGCCTGGCAGTACTAGGGTCGTTGGTTTGAATCACAGCCACGGCACCACCTGCCTGGAGTTTGCGTGTTCTCCCTGTGCCTGCGTGGGTTTCCTCCGGGTACTCCGGTTTCCTCCCACACTCCAAAGACATGCTGGTAGGTTAATTGGCTCCTGTCTAAATTGGCCCTAGTATGTGTATGTATGAATGTGAGTGTTAGGGACCTTAGATTGTACACCCCTTGAGGGTTACGGACTGATGTGAATGTACAATATACAGTATATGTGTAAAGCGCTGGGTAAATGGACAGCGCTATATAAGTACCTGAAATAAATAAAAATAAAATAAATAAAATGTACAGCACAGTACAGTACAGTGAGGCAGTGCTTTTCTATAGGGGTTAGACAAAAAAAAATGGAAACACTACATGATTTGCAGGTGTGAAAGTGACTATACGTTTTGCGTTGAAAGCGAAAGTGATGTAACATTCTTTTGCTTCCCTTGTGTGATGAGACACCTAGCTAACAGGTGGGAGACTTAAATTTTGTCATTCACAGTGTGTGCTGCTGGTAATTAGTGAAGCTTCCCACCCGTTAGCTAGGTGTCTCATCACACAGCGGAAGCAAAAGAATGTTACATCACTTCTGCTTTCAACATGAAACATGTCGTCACTTTAACACCTGCAAATTATGTAGTGTTTCCATTTTTTTGTCTAACTCCTGTATTTACCATCAGTGGGTTACTGAAGGTGGACTGCATCACACCAGAAACCGCCAAGAAGCTCATGTTGGTGGTAGCCTCTTACAGCTGATTGGTGGGTATTTGATTATGGAGACGAAAACTAGTCACTTTGTGGAGATGAATAGCCACAGCTGTTCCACTCCTTATTTCAGTGAAAACCCTCTTAAATGTCAAGAAATGGCAAACCCAAATACTCCTGCACTTAGGGATGGACTCCAAAAGGATGGGACCACATCGAGAATTTCTAGGAATATGCAGGCCTTGCTGCCCTCAAATGACCGGGGAAGTCCAAATATAAAGAGTAGAAAAAACAAAAAGAGGGTGCACTGGCCTAGTGCATCACCTTAAAAAAAGTATTTAATAGATGATAAAAGTAGGTATTGTACTCACAAAATGACAAGTCAAAGGTACATCATATAGGAACAGCTCCGTCTCTCATCGTATAGGAACAGCTCGCTAACGTGCTTTGAGGACTTGCCTCTTCCTCTGGCTCTGAGGAAGAGGCAAGTCCTCAAAGCGCGTTAGCCTGTTGGAGGTCCAGAGTTCCCATCACGGACGCACACTTAGTGCGGATTGGACCGAGCTGTTCCTATACGATGTACCTTTTGACTGTTTTGTCATTTTGTGAGTACAATACCTACTTTTATAATTTAATAAATACATTTTGTAAGGTAATGCACTAGGCCGGTGTGCCCTCTTTTTGTTTTCCTCTTAAATGTCACTAGGATTTAGCTCACACAGCTTCGCATTTTTAAATTTTCTTTATTGTCTTTTAGAAGCCCGAGCCTGCTGAGGACTTCCGCTCCTGCCAGAACAGAAATTACACCAGCTGCATAAATGATGAAACCATCGAAGACTGGAGGCAGAAAGTGATAGAAAATAGTAATTCCAATACTATGAAGTATGTCTTTGAGTAAAAATACTATTCGTTAAGTTAAAGCAGAAGTTTAGTTTAAAAACTTTTTTCTCTACAGCTTTAGTTACATTACTTGCCTGTAATAAAGTATGTCCCACAATGTGCAGGATGCTGTATTATGCAGAAAATTCCCTGCAGGGCTGCCCTGTCCTCTTCCTGCTGCGACCTTCTGGCACTGTGGGGATTAACTGCTTCAGATGTCTGGGCTCTGCTGCATTAAACATGTTTGATAGAAACACTTTCCTCCTTCTTTTCTACTGAGAAAAGTTCTTTCACTGATTGCACGGTTTGTACCATGATCTGTGAATGGGAGAGAGAATCCTGTGACTGATCAGGCCTCCATTCACAGATCGTGTTACAGGCAGTGTAATAGGTAAAATAACTTTTCTCTATAAAGGAGGAGAAAGGAGAGGGTGTGTCCCCATGGGATCATCTTTAGTGCATCTGAGCTCCGAGACCCAAGGCTGTTAACCCCCATGGTGCTGGAAGTTCAGCAGCAGGAAGAGGACAGGGTAGCCCTGCAGTGAAGATTTCTACAGAATTCAGCAGCTTGCACATCATGGAACATGCTTCATTACAGGTAAGTAATGTAACTAAAGCTGTAGTGAAAAAAATGTTTTTAACTAAACTTTAAATAGTTCATTAAATTTACCCATAGGCCAAAGACCTTTAGAATGCTATGTTATGTAGTCAGGGCAGCTTTATACTGAATTTATATATTGTTCGCAGGCTGAATTCAGAAAGAAAAAAGTCTATCAGCTTGGGTAGATTATCCTAGGCTTAAAGAATGCAAATGTCCCAAAAATTACAGTGACCGTTATTTTGCATGCTCTGGACTACTAGAATGGATATCATTTTGCCCCTCTGGCGGCTGAGACATTAAGTCTGCTTTACTAAAGGAGTTGAGAATCGTCACACAATAAATCGTGTGAATATTCACTTAAAGTGATTGTAAAGTCTTATTTTTTTTTTTAATCACAAACATGTTGTACTTACCTATTTACTCTGTGCAATGGAATTACACAGAGTGGCCCTAAACCTCCTTTTCTTCTGCTGGCTCCTCTTCCCTTCGAGTACCCCTATAGCAAGCCACTTGCTATATGAGAGCACTTTTGGGGGCTTGATTCCAAGCCGTACTGCTTGAGTTCATAGACACAGACAGCATGGCTCAGCCCAGCCACAGGATTTGACTGACAGCAGCAGAAAACATTGTCTCTAGCTGCCACGGCAAAGCCTTGTGAGTGCAGGAGAAGACCGAGCTACTACAGACGGGCACAGCACTGGATCGAGTGAGGACTCCATTAAGTGGACTCAGTTATAAGGGTGGGATGAGAGGGTGATACTGCTACTTGTCACGACCCGCGATTGCCGCCACCAACAGGGCGACAATCACACAGCCGCGACTCACAGCAATACGTCACGTCCCACGGCGTCAGACCCCAGACCTTCTCACCAAACTCTGACCGAAGGGCCGGGATCCAAAACCGCGGTGTGACGCACGTAAAAAGGCCACACTCTCAGCCGCACCCAGCACAGCGATTGCCCAGCTAATGGTCTACAATCTGTGCCTGCAGCCTGAATGCGCTTGTTACTGGATCGGGTTAATTACGCAAACTAACCCTCTACTGCCACCACTCCACTTTTGTCGGAGACTGAAACTCCCGTTATCAAATATACACTATAATGATTGAAAATATTGATCTATATAGCACGGCCCGCGGGGACCTACTATACAGAGATATAACAAACAGTAGCGTCTCTTCAAAGGCAGGGATTGTGAATTGCAAGTAAGCGCTTAGAAACAGTTTAACACTTTCAGAAAGAAAGATTTATTACTAAAAGCGTCAGACAGATGCAATAAAATATTTACAAGGAGATGTCACAAAAAATATATATATGTATATAAAGACACAGCAAACATAGAATTACGAGGGAATTACAGGGTAAGTTACTTGCCTTGCCTGGTTTTAAGCAGATTCCGGTAGAGCAGTGTGACTCCTAGTCTCCTTTTGTTACGATGTTATGGAGACTTCTCTTGTTAAAAAACTTTCACTCTCTCTCTAGGCTTGTCAGCCTGTCTTTTTTTAAAAGTCCCTCACAAAGGGAGGGGGGCTCTGACTACACCTTTTGGGAGTGGTCATTGGGAGATTTTAAACTGAAACTGCCAGCTCATGTCCTATGATATGAAACATACGGTTGACCTGAGGAATGTTCAGTTCTCGGGTCAGTTTGATAAGGTGTGGGGCTTACATAGCTTTGGGTGACCAAAGTGACACGTTCGTAGACAGCCTGCCTCCACTTCTCATGTCTTAGGTTGTTCCACATCAGCTGCCAGGAGATAAAGTCTGCCTCACAGGAATGCAAGGGGGGATGTGAGGAATGATTCGAGGAAGACCTCAAATACAGCAAGGAACAGGGGAACTCCGCTTCCAGCTCTGATGAGCTAGTTTGTTACAAAAGCAAAGGTTGAAGGAGAACTCTGCTTCCGCTCTGAGGAGCTAGTTTGCTACACTACCCAAACACAGAGAATACATTAACTTCTTCCCGCTGGCGCCTCCCGGCCCTTTAAGCATTTCAGACGCCAGGAGGCGGGGCGGGTGGGGGTGTGGTTTAGGGATCATGTGACCGCCGTGACGCATCGTCACGGTGGTCACATGATCTGGAAAGGTCCCATTCGAAAGAGCAGACGGAGACCTTTCCGTGAGTACCAGACATGCGTGCTGGGAGCACGCAGGGCGCGCGCACTCTCAGCACATATGTTTTTTCTTACATGAACGCAAATGTATGGCCGTCTGCGTCTAGGCCCAGATGCCGGGAGGCCGCACATTTGTGTGCGGCCGGCGTAAAGGGGTTAAGGTAAAAAATGTTTAGGCTTTAGAACCACTTTAATTTCATCTGCACATGACTAAATAAGTAAAAAGGAATTTTCTTTTCCAATGACTGGATGATTGAAGCAAACCTTCACTCAACCTATTATGTGAAGAGTCTCAACTTAGTAAATCAGCCTCAGTGTTTGGTGGCCAGTTCAGAATTGCTGCTATTTAATGTTTATAGGCTGATTTACACACACTACTTTGTGTGCTTGCAGTATGAATAGTACACATACTGTATGATCTAGTAAAGGATTGTATCTCTGTTCTGACTGCACTGTGCTTGTGCTGAATAATTACATAATTGCAGTGAATAGTCCTTCCGTATGTCATGAGCATGATACAGCTGATACATGCAGTTTTGACAGTGTCATTTACATGTGTATCATGTGTTTAGGCCATCTTTATCAGGTCGAAGCATATCAGTCAACATGACTCCTAACCCGCTTTAGTACATTTATAAGTGATAATTGTGGGTTCCATGTGCAGCCTACAGTCGTTTCCTTGAGAGTGGAAAACTCTTCCAGCAGTTGTAGTAGATTTTTAAAAAATTTTTTTTTTCTCATTTGCACTGTTAGTGTTGCCCTTTGAATTATTGCATATCCCTCTTTGCTGTTAATACACCACTTAAAAGCATGTTGCAAAATCGTTCAGTGTACAAGCCACGTGTTAAACAGCTTTATAGAGGCTCTTTTCTGCTTTCTCCTATACAGTGGCATAGTACAAACACTTTCCTCTTCAGCTTGCTGGAATGGGAGTTTCCTGGAAAAGACGTGAGTACTAAAAATCACAGCCTTGCATTCGCAACTTAAAGGAGTTTTAATAACAAGTTCTAGAAAGCGTAGATTTCGGGATCAGATTCCAACCATCATTTCACATTACAGATTGAAAACAAAATAAAGATTCTTATTGGCTGCTGTGGGCCACAGAAGTGTTCACATATATGTGCACATATATAAACCTCATTGTCCCCTCCACACTGGTTCACCAGCACAGTGTATTGAATTGGGTTGAGTTAAAATTTTGGATTATACTGAAGATGCATTTCCCAAGAATAGTGCTGCGCCGCCCCCTAGTGACCCAAAAAATACACTAATAATAAATAAACACCCTTCTGAGCATCAAACCCAATGTGTAATAGAATAAATCTGTGAAACAAAGAAAGTCAATAGTAAATAAAAAAAAAAACTGGCTAAGCCACTAAATCCAATGAAACATATATCAAAAATAATCTAAAATCGTGTAGCAATAAACACCTGACCAACCTATAATAAACACCTGGCTGAGCTAAAGAATAAAGTGTAAAAAACAACAAATACAGTGAAATATGTGACACGTATATCAGAAATAAAACACGATCACAATGGCAGTAAATACCTGGCTGACCTGAAGCATAAAGTGTGAAAATCAACAAACACCTTATTAAATGATTGTAAAACAAATGCAGGGCTGAGCAATCGCCCCCCCCCCCCCCCCAGTGGAATAAATATGTGATGAATCAAGTAAATATTTAACCGGGATAGATATTCACAAAAAGTGTGTAAAAAAACAAAAAAACAACCCCCCCCCCCCCAAAAAAAAAAGGATAAGCAGCTCTACTGAATATATACAAAAAACAGATAAATGGTGAATGATAGATAACACTTAATAAAGGTTAAAAAGCAGTCCAAAAGTGATATAACAGTCCCTTTCTTACAACATAGAAAGTAATGCACCAGTGACTTCAACAGGTGTGCAAATCTATCCTGCTCCTCCACCTTCAGGCACGCTCATCTTAACAGCTGACCCATAGAAAATATAGATCAACGTGCGCTCAATATGTATCCCACTGGATCCTCTGCTTCCACAGGTCTCTCTAGTCACTCTCAGGAACAATCCTTTACGTCCCCTCTCCGATGGATAGGTGCTCAAAAGATAAGGAACAAGGAACTCCTCATAGTGCAGTAAGGCTTTATTACAATAAAAATGTATAATAAATGCCACTCACATAGATAAAGGGTCCCAGAACCTATTACAAGCATTTAAGGGAAAAATAGGGTGAACACAGATGGCGGCTTGTGCACTCACCAGAAAAGATGTCGCAAGCTTCCTTCCTTGTGGCAGCACATGAGTATTATATCCTTATTACTGTAGATACATTGTCCTGTTTTCTGCCATTCAGGTGGTTAATGGGATCCTTCTAAAATGCAGTAAATGTCAGTACATATGGCAACCTACTTTTACACAGCTTTCATTGTCATATGCAGGAGACAAATCTGGACAAAGAACATGCCTGTGTTTACATACATACAGTATATAAATGGTTATTGTCATGTACAGCAATTCTAAACGTTGTGTAAAATCTACATAAAAACAGAATGCAAGGATTTGCAAATTATTATTATATTCTATTAATAAATAAAAAAAATCTCATAAACCCATATTTTATTCACTATAGAAAACATATCATATGTTTAAACTAAGAAAATGTACCATTTAAAGAAAAAAAAAAGGTAACTTTTAAACTGATGGCAGCAGCACATCTCAAAAAAGTTGGGACAGGGCCAAAAACATCTGGGAGCTGAGAAGACTAGTTGCTGGAGTTTTAGGAAATGAATGTTCTTGCCTGATATATGATTCTACCTGCTCAGCAGTCCTGGATCTTCTTTGTTGTATTTTTCATTTCAAGATGCACCAAATATTTTCAGTTGGTGAAAGGTCTGGACTGCAGGCAAGCCAGATAAGCACCCAGACTCTTCCACTATGAAGCCATTTTGTTGTCATAGATATAGTATGCGGTTTAGCAGCTTTTTTGTAGTTGGGCTTGTAGACAAGGTAGGGATTCGCTAAGTTAACGGTAAATTGTACTTAGCGAAATATTGAGGCTGATAAAAGGTGATGCGCTTTTCAGAATGCTAGTTGCTAGTCCCTGGCCTAAATGCTTTCTGAGTCCGTGACCTGGAGCAAGCTTGCAGCAAGCAAAGTCGGGGTGGAGTAAAATCTAGGCAGCTAGAACATTCATAGCAGCCTTCATGCAGGCTTCCTTCATTGTTTACACTATGATATCTTAGAAATGATAAATCATTTTGATTTGTTAATGCTTTTTACTACAGAAATGATGAGCATTTTAAAACAAGCCCCAAGATCCCAGGAATTGACATGTTGTCCATTAAAGTCCTCTTTGAGAAGCTGATGAACACCCAGCATTCAAGGCTACTGGAGCAGGTAAAATCCAGTCCATACTGTTATATAGACGAGTCTCTGATTGAGATAGTGAGCCTTTACTAGCTAAAGCCGGCCATGTATGACTTGAATTGCAGCCAATTCCTTCTGAATGAGCTGACATTTGGATGACCCTAACAGCAATGCCCATCTCAAAAACTCTGAAAAATTTAAATAAGCTAAAAATTGGGAAATTGTTGGATGAACAGTGAAAACATCCAATGAGATGTAGTCACAGATATTCAGACAGTTGCAAGTTATACAGCTGTCGGAATACAACAGCATTCAGGGGGGATTCCTACACCCATGCCATTTTAGGGGTAAATTAGCAATTTCTCTGTAAAAAAAAAAAAAAAATCTTAATGTGTATGGCTAGCCTAAGGTCCAGTACACATATGTACTTGACAAGGTGAATTTATTTGCTTCCTCCTATAAAAGTGCTTACCACATTTCACCTGCTGATTTGAGGTTTACTCAACATTTCACCTGCAGTAACACAAATCATAACCTCCTGCAAAACCCGACCTGGATTTGAGGTTTGGACATTCGATTTTTCATTGAGTAAAATGAAGTAAAAACGAAAGCGCAGGATGGAAAATTATCCTTGAATGAATAGATTTCTAACATTGACTGTGGTTTTTGTTTGGGAGAGTTAATTCACTCCAAAATGTTAAAGGCAAATGTTTATTGACGTACTTTCAAGTGACATTTGTGAGGATTTTCAAATGGATGTTCATACAAATGTTCCACACCTTTGAATATCTGCTAGTGTATGGCCAGCATCAGGAACATGCACTGAGCCTTGCCTTGCAGATATGACAAATATATCCTCTGCAGCTGGTGGCTATAAGTTGGTACAGTAAATTAACATCCCTTTCCTACCTCACCATGTCTTTATTGCTATCAAAATGGTATTTGGCGAGCTCTGTATGTGGCAAAAAAGCAGCTAGCACAAAAGACAATAACAAGAAATCTCACAATAACAAATGTGTGTAAAGTGCATCGCTAAATCATATAGTGCAACATTCAAAAGTTTACACATAAGTGCAAACAAGGCATAAACATCAGTGAAATAATAATAATAATAAAAGTCCATACGGTGTAAAATATGTGCGGGTGCAAATCATAAATACTGTGACATATTACAGTCCGTATATGTGCCAGTGATACTGCAAATTGCAAAACGGGAACATATCCAGCTCCAATATAGTGCCAGGGGATCCAGTGAACACTCCACCACCACTTTGCACTCACCAGAAAGCTACTGGTATAGTAGCAAAAATCAATGGTCACTTGTTCACAATCTGGGCTGAAGATCCTCCTAGAAAGAAAGCTCTCCACACGGAGCCCTGAAATGGCCTATATAGTGTAGTATTTATTAAAATAGGAGATAATCCACGTGGAAACATGAAGCACAATGTGTAAATACACATACCAAAATGGCCGCCGTTCCGGATCATGAACACAGCGGCGTGACGTCAGCAGGTGGGTGGATCCTACATGCTGACGTCACGCCGCCGTGTCCGTGATCCGGAGAGGCAGCCATTTTGGTATGTGTATTTACACATTGTGCTTCATGTTTCAACGTGGATTGTTTTATCTCCTATTTTTATAAATATTACACAATATACGCTATTTCAGGCTCCCTGTGGTGAGCTTTCTTTCTAGGAGGATCTCCAGCCCAGGATTGTAAACAAGTGACCATCGATTTTTGCTACTATACCAGTAGCTTTCTGATGAATGCATAGTGGTGGTGGAGTGTTCATTGGATCTCTTAGACTGTAAGCTCCAAGGAGCAGGGCCCTCCGAACCGTTGTATTGAACTGTATTGTTGCTGTATTTATATTGTAAAGCGCTGAGCAAACTGTTGGCGCTATATAAATCCTGGATAATAATAATAATCCCCTGGCACTATATTGGAGCTGGATATGTTGCTGTTTTGCAATTTGAAGTATCACTGGCACATATATGGACTGTAATAGATCACAGTATTTATGATTTGCACCCGCACATATTTTACACAGTATGGACTTTTATTATTATTATTTCACTAATGTTTATGCTTTGGTTGCACCTATGTGTAAATTTTTGAATGTCTTTATTGCTGTTTATTTTCTCTCTAATGGCTCATTAAATGACCAAAGTATTCTTTTTCTTCTTTTTGATAGATTCATAAGGGTTTTGAAAGTTTTTTAATACCACAGCTTTCCAGTTCTCCGCCAGATGTAGAAGCAATGCGTATTTACCTCATACTCCCAGAATTCCCTCTGCTGCAGGACTCAAAGTACTACATAACACTGACGCTGCCGTTAGCCATGGCAATCTTAAGGCTGGATACCAACCCAAGCAAAGTGCTGGGTAATATTCTCTTTATTGTGTTGTGTTTCGCAATATGTTCACAATAAGTTATGGTTGGAGTACAGATGGGTGGTACCTCAGCTTTTATTGCTGGTGTTTCCCCATTGAAAGAAATCTGCTCGCTTTCTCTTTGTAAAAGGGTGTCAGTGGGTCAGGAAGTGATTGAAAATCTCTTTTGGCTTTATTGCTGTCTGTCTCCACAAGGTTTTTGTTGATTTTTCTGTCCCTCTTGGAGATAGAAAAGGAAATCTATCTTGTCCTGGTGAAAGGGGGTTATAGCGGCAAGTAATGGGAAATCTCTCCATTGGGGGCAGAGAAATGAACATTAACACCATGGAGTTGTAGACACAAATTGAGGCTGACAAAAGTTTTAACCCTCTATCACTATATTAACTCCTTCACACCAACGTACCACAAATATGCAGCCTCAAAGAACTGGGCTTTTTTCCATGGGACCACATATTTGCGTATCTGTCTTTGTGCTGGGAGCGTGCCGCACAGCGCGCTCCCAGCACAAAGACCGGAGTGTCACTGAGAGCCTCGGGTTCTGTTCCAACGATCGCGAACTGGGACTCCTGATTCCGGGTCACATAACCGCTGTGATAGCCTTTGATTGGCTATCACAGTGATTAGTCACTGTACAGCCTGCCCCCCTTGTATTTTTTTCTCTATGAATGGAAGAGAGAGATACATTGTACTCTCTCTCCTTGTATAGAGGAAAAAAAACCTGTTTGTTAAAAAAAAGATAAATATTAAAAAACGAAAAAATACCTAGATCAAGGGTTGATCTAGTTCAGTGTCAGGGTTAGTGTTTGGGTCAAGGTCAGGGTCAAAGGTCAGTATTATTATTATTTTTTTTTTTTTAAATTGTTATCAGTGTCAGTCAGGGTATTTAAAAAAGACAAAAAACAAAATGCGCACTATTGTTTCTGGGCTGTACACATATATGGTATCGCTGCAAGAGATATAAAATTTATTTTGGGTTGTTCTTTGGTGGTAGGTAGTAACAAGAAACACAGCTAAATAAAAAAAAATATTTATTTTTTTTTTACTATTTTGGGCCAGTTTTCTTTTGATAATAAAAAAAAAATCAGGAGATATCTATTACCATTTACCACCAAATGAAAGCCCAAATTATCCTGAAAAAAAAGGTATAATCCACCTGGATGTACAATGTAGTTATGATATGTACGGTTTTACTAATACATGTCAACGTTGCAAAATTGTGCTTAGGCGTTAAGATTTGTTTTACCCTTAGGCGTGAAAGGGTTGAAAACCGAAAGAGATATTTGTGGGGGAATCATAGAAACATAGAAAAGTGATGACAAAAAAAAGACCAAGTGGTCCATCGAGTCTGACCGTCTTAATTTTTTTTTTGTCCGAGTATGGATCCATGTTTGTCCCAGGCATGTTTGAAACCACTTACTCATGACTGACTCACTACTTCTGCTGGAAGTCTATTCCAGGCATCAGATACTCTTACAGTAAAATAATAGTTTCTAAGATTAGTTTTGAACTTTTCTCCAGGTAGCTTGAGGTCATGTCCGCATTTTCTTGATCTAAAGCTGGAAAAACGCTGTTAAATTTTTAAATAAAAAATGCTGATACACAAGTGCAGTAACTCAAAGTGCATTTCCACTTTTGCAGTCAAATTTGAGAAAACTCCACTATATGTTTATTGTATATGCTCATTCACATAGCAAACCTAAAATAATAAAAACAAAATAATTCCAAACTTTTGGGTGTTTGTTTGGAGCAGTCCTCTGGGGAGACTGCAAGCTATTCTGAACAAGTTTAAAGTGATTTTATCCCCACTGAGCGTTCCCTCATTAACAAATCATGCAAGAAGCCCAGCTTCTAGATCATTGACTCTTTGTTAGGACTGACAGTGCTCCAGTACAGTTGATAACTGATAGTGGGATCTGCCAGCACATTAAATCCCCCGCTTTCACATAACATTACAGCGGAAGGAAAACAAAGCAGGATTTGTCAGGCCTGGAGTATTCAGAAAAAAGCATTTAAAAAGTTAGCAGAATTTTAAAAATAATTTTATTTTAAATTTTGCTGTTTCTTATTTAAAATAATGCTATGTGAATGAAAACATAACAAATATTAAGTAGGTCTTATAAACCAGTGTGTAAAAACAATGGTTAGTCTGTGCTCCCTAAATCGTTGCATTAGTGACAAGCTGCTGCTTGTTGATAAACTTGCAAATAGTAAATACTACTACAGGAAGACAAACATCTAGCTGAAGATTCTAAGCATTCAATTTTTAAAGGGATAAGTTCACCTTTGGGAACATGTGTTTTTTGTTTTTTTTTTAGGGTGGAACATGTGACAGATTCCCACTGCTGCAGCCTCTCCCTGATCCGCTGAGCCCCTAGTGGCAGCAAGTGGGGGATCTTCTCCCTGAACTCGCTGTAACAATTTAAAAAAAAACGCGGCTGGGCGGGGCTCAGCCTGCTTGGCCGCGTCATTCATTCAAAGAGTTCTGTGAATGGGTAAACTACATCTACCAACAGCCTTGCGGCCGATGGCTTATAGTTTTCAATGAACAACCAGAGCGCTGGCGAGGACTGTAGTTAGTTCATTGATGGTTTCTGTCATTGTGCAACTGCCTGACTGTACGTTGTACAAGGAGACAGCTTACACTGACAGTCTGCAGGAGCCCTGCATTACATCTGCGATCTGCTGTTCATTGGCGCAATATTTACAGGCTCCTAATCATCAAAAAAAATAATAAATGCACATTTTATTACATGCAAAAAGATGTGCATTTATTTTTATGTTTTTAAGGTGAACGTAACCTTTAATTGAAAAAGAGTTTTTGGTTTGTTTTTTTTGTTTTTATTTATTCGTTTAATCTGGAGGGGATTACTTATTGTTTCCATTCCAGCAGGCTTTAGCAGGCTTTAACATTTGTGTACAGCTCATGTAGAAGCTGTATGGATGTCCTTATGCTTTGTATTGTTTTATCTTTTTTGTTTAACTTCACCTGTTAAAGAAACTCAATTCACATAATGCTCTTTCCTATTTTTCTATCAATGTAGATAACTGGTGGTCTCAGATTTGCCCAAACTACTTCTTCAGATTAGTTGACCTTTATAAAGGAGCGGTGGTCTATCTTCTGAATGGACGAAAGACTTTGCTGATCCCTGTACTGTTTACCAGCTACATCACAGCTGGTCTCAGGCTCCTGGAAAAGCTGCACAAGGTGATTATAGAACAGAGAAAGAGGAAATTTGTACATATTCGATCAAAATATTACAAAGGGTCAATCTGTTGGAATCGGTAAAAGTGCCCACCAATTTTATATTGTGAAACATCACAACGCTTTAATTAGGAACTTATTACTTAAAGTGGCTGTCATGAAATCTGAACAGAGCACAGCTATCTGTAGTGTTGACTTGTCTCTCTCCAAAGTTCTAAGTGTCCTTTCTCTCTGTTGCTTAGTTCCCCTTTTATTAGCATGTGTCACTTCTGAGATGTTTTCCTGACACATAAGATCAATTTGTGTCGGAAGGAGGGGCTTGTCTTTTCAGAACATAGCTCCTCTGTGCTGTATGGAGGGGCGTGTGCCCCTTTCCTCCAATCGGCTCTAACTGCAGCTCCCTGCCCCCTCCTCTGTGATACTGAAGGAAGGATTTTACCCAAAATCAGCAGTTTTAAAGGGATATACAAAAGAGAAGACTGCAAATAAACAAAACTTATGTTTGTTTCATCTCTGTGTATCTTCTGGGGCTATTCACTTCACTTGGTATATGGGAGGGTTTACAACCATTTTAACCATGACTATCCTAAATGAATATAAATGAGGCCAATGTAGGATACCGCCTAAGACTTTATGGTGGCATTGCACAGTTAAGGTGGGAGCCTCCGTGTTCCAGAGGAATGATGATTACATTAGGAGAGTGACTCTCCATGGGTAATATTTGTGGCTTTACTATCAGTTTGGCATCTGGTCCCACTCTGTTATACCTAGTACATATGATGAGAAAATTGGATGAAAACAAAAAATGCTTTCGGAGCGATCGTCTGATAATGTGATCATTCGTACACAGCTTTGAAGAGCTGATCATGGGAGTTCATGCAAAGGTATCTGAAGGGACAAACACTACATTTTTTTTCAACGAACAATTACAGATCGTGTAATTAGTACTGTATAGTATTTGTACGCAAAAAATCGAGTGACCAAGACCGCGCATGCTCGGTAACAACAAAATACATTACAAGACATCATATCCGAAGTTGTATCCTGTCTTAGGAGAGTTTTCCTAACTTTAGTAACCTGTTCAATTTCAATACGAGACTAGCATACAAAAAGAAACCGACAATCATTAGTCCGATATTCTCATCGTATGTACGATGCTTTAGGAGTTGTCTTTGTGAATTCTGCAAGGCTGGGCTCCTGTGTGAATGTATACTGCAGACAGGTAGCAGGAAAGTGGTTGATTAATCCTTCTGTTTATTTTAAAATGGATCTCCATCCAAAACTTTGTCATGGTAGATCAGGGAAAGAATAAAATCTGTGTCAGGTTTTGTAGCTATCTGGGTCCCTGCTATTCAAAACTGTCCTTGAGTTCCACTTTACTGACAGGGTCCTCTTGTTTATGAATAAGTACACGTGGAATTTCTCTCAGTTGCCAGCTGCAGTGAATCTACTTGTCCTGTTCTTTTGATGAATGTCTGTTTTTTTTTTTCCTGTTAAAGGGTATATTTTCAGCACCGCTCACATAGCTTTCATTTTGACTCCAGGTAAATGTGAAGGTACGACATGTAGAGCATGATAAATTCTATATCCCAGAGATATCCAGCTTGGTGGACATCCAGGAAGATTATCTCATGTGGTTCCTGAACCAAGCAGGATTGGTATGTATGACTTGTTTTTTCCGGCTCTAGTGCCTGTGTTGACAGGTTTTTTTTTTTTCCTGAGAAAACTGCTTCTCTTTCCCCATATAAGTCAGTAGGGATGCATAAGCTTCTTGAAGCAGGTTGATGCAGCTTAGTGGGTCATATGCAAATCAGGAGTTCAGTGAAGGCCAAATGAACCTGTCAGTGAATTCTTAATGGTCCCAGAAGTGTCTCAAACTGATATTAAATCTAAACAGAATATATCTGAAAGCATGCCACATTTGCCCACTAACTAGCCCAAAGCCTGTCAGCACAGGCCCCTAATATTTTCAATGTGTGTACCTTTCTTACGTCGTGTGATTATTTAATATTTATCACCTTATATTTCAATACTATTAAAAAAGAAAAAAGTAGAAACTCTCTTGTGGTGGTCATGCGAAAAGCTGGCCATACACTGGCCCTGCCAGCTAAACAAAAAACGTAATCCTCCATCCACACTACACAGCATTGATTAATATATCTCCTGCTGCGGCTGTGGTACTCTGACAGTATCGGCAGCTGTCAGAATACCCAAATAGCAGCTGCATCTGATTCAACAATGTTCTGCACAGCTCCTTCATTTTTTGAAGGATGTCGTATGGGTGGGGCAGACAGGGCCACCCACATACCGAAATTTGAACATTGTATGGCCTTCTCTAACTTTCTAGTTTTGGTTGAAAACACCCTGAAATAATTTTTTTTGCATACATCCCATTACAACAATCATCTGGATGTCATCTGAAATAGGAGAATTTCACATTTTTATTTTTTGTGTTATTTTACGATATCCATCATGCTAATTAATGTTTGTAACAAAATCACTGTGTTCTACCTAAATAGAATATTTTCTGGATGGAAATAGGAAAAGGGTTTTCATAGTTCTTTCTTTCTGTCTTCACAGAAGATGCGTGCTTCCATTATGCAGGTAATCTGCTTTATTATATCTGCTTTATGTTAGTGTCATGTATTCATCAGTGTGTTTTAGAAGAATACAAAATGAGATATTGGATTAGTTTGTACTGAGATATCGAAATGTCTTCTGCCATATCTTCCTCTGCACAAACCTCCTCTCCTTCGTCACAGCTTTCCATTCTTCCTCAGTGCAGTAAATCTCTATAATCCCACACCATACACACGTTAGGCTTTTGGACAGGGAATTCTATCTTCCACGTGTGTTTATTATAAGGAATGTATAATCTCTCTTTTTCTTTAGATAAAAAAAACAGTCTTGTTAACATGTGTGAATGTATTAAACACCTTGGACCAGACAAACTAAAGCAGAGTATACACGGGGTGGTTTTCTTTTTTGTTTTTTCTTTTTGTTCAACCTGCGGGTTGAAAGTAAAAAAAATGACAGATCCCTGCCTCCACACAAATGATGTGGATGCAGGGATCTTCCCTGATGTGCTATTGTAATTTGACAGCAGGTCTCCCTCTAACTTCCCATCAGAATGCACAGATCAGGGCAGCTGTTTATCAGGCTGCAAGCACTGATTGAATGCTGGTTGAAAGACCACTTTACACACAGATGGAAATTCGTCTGATTCCTGCTGAACCAGCCGATTTTTACTCTGTGTATAGCAGCCTTAAGATTGGTAGTTTTTTGATGCATTGTTTGTCAAATGAACTCTTAGGTCAGAGTGCATAAAGTGTATTAGACGCATTGAAGAATGTGTCTTGCACCATCATCCTCTGTGCACTACTGCACACCTCTATTGCACCAAAATATAATTTTCTTTGTAAGATCTATTTCCTGCTTTCTGATACTACACAATGGTTGTGCTATATTGCTCCCACTTACAATGCAGGCCTATAGCTGGCCATACACCTTGGAATCTGAAAGTGCAATCCCCATTCAATTTTATTTAAGAACTAACAAAACTATGTAGAAGAAGCCCTACATAAACAATCCAGTCACTACTAAAAGTAGTCGGTCATGCAAGAAACTGTGACCATTTGCAGACAAGGTTCTTTAGTAAATCAACCCCTATGTATCTAGTCAGGCTCTCATGCTACTAAATTGTTGGTAGATCAAAAGATCGTTCAGATTTCAAGGTGTATGGCCAGCGTATGAGTTTGCTAACCATTGAAAACAATGCACTCCCTTTGTGGCTTCTAGCTTATCTTTAACAGTTCATAAGCAAGGGGCTCTAACCTGTAACTGAGTTATAGCTTTTTGGGGGTACTCACTCCCGCTTCCACAATCCTTCACTAGGAAAAGCTGAAATCCATTGCCCCACCCTTCTCACACGTCACATGTCCCAGGAGACCTCATTCAAAGAGCACCACGTGAGCGATGCATGGTGGCACTGGAAACCCACAGCTGTAAGAAGAAGCAGCTTCTGGGCAAGCAGACCTGCAGTTTGAACAAAGGAAATTTAACAGATTCCTCCATCCTCACTAAACTGCACAGATGGACAATTCTCTCACTGTGGGCTATTATAATCTCACATCCGATGCTGACAGCTGTCAGGATACCCGATCAGCGACTGCATCTGCTTGTATGAAGGTGCTGTTCCATTCAACAACACCCAGTTCCTTTGAAAAATCAACCTATCCGGGTATTGCCGTTGGGGCCACACACAGAGTGAACTTAATGCTAATTTTTCTGAATCAGCCAAAGTTTGATGTCTATGCCCAGCTTTAGTGACATTAGTATGTCTGCTTTAGATGTATTACAATCTATAAGTAACTTATAATAATAGTGGAAAAGTGTAACTGTGCTTCAAAATATGCATTCCTTCGTTTTTGTATTATAGACTGTTATTCTACCTGTATTTATTTATTACAGGTACTTGTATAGCGCCATCAATTTATGCAGCGCTTTACATATTTATTGTACATTCACATCAGTCCCTAACCCTCAAGGGGCATACAATCTAAGGTCCCTAACTTACATTCATACATACACATACTAGAGCCAATTTAGACAGGAGCCAATTCACCTACCAGCATGTCTTTGGAGTGTAGGAGGAAACCAGAGTACCTGGAGGAAAACCACGCAGGCACAGGGAGAACATGCAAACTCCAGGCAGGTGGTGCCGTGGTTGGGATTTGAACCAACAGACCCTAGTACTGCCAGGCGGAAGTGCTATTTAGCCACTGTGCTGCCCGCCTGTATGTTTCTTTCAGTATGTGTATTTTTTCTGTTTCTCCCCAGGATTCAGTGACACTCTGTTCTTATCCATTTGTGTTTGATGCTCAAGCCAAGACCAAAATGTTGCAGACTGATGCTGAATTACAGATGCAGGTACCTAATGTAAAGTCTACATATGCATGCAGAAGTTTATTTTTAACACTTCAGATCTTTGTGCAGCATTGTATAAATATTTCTGGGATAACTTGGGACATTCTCTAAATCTCATTTGGCTTATTATTTAAAGCAGAACTCTAGTTCAAAAAATGAATAGCTAATTCAAGGATAAAATGAAAAAAAAAAATGCTTTAATACTTTGCATTTAATCCAGAGCGGTCCCCCGCAGTAATTCTTTCCACCACTAGATGTCCTTTGTCTTTTGTGCTCAGTGACAGCCAGCATCATTCCTCTGAGCATAGGCTTTGGGGAAAAAAGGATTCATATTTAAAGTGGTGTGAGTGTGTTTGGGGATGTTGAAAATAATAACTTCTGCTTTAACAATGAGAATGAAATATCTGTAATTTATCCACGGTATTACTAAATATGTGTGTGTGTTTGCTGTTCAGTTTATACTGAGAACTTCCTTGCATTCCTTATAAATGTTGCATGCCAAACAAGCAATCAATCGGAGAATTCCTCGGCGTGCCCTCACTGCTGTGTGCTAATAATGTATCTAGCTGGCAATTCCAGTTTGTTGAAAATACACTGAGTCTCGGTTCACACTACTGCTACCTGAAAGGTGCGTGATTTTGCGACTTTGCCAGGTGACTTGAGTACTATTTTGAAGCGACTTTCAGGGAATGCCTGGGTAGTCTTCCTGTAATGCCGGTCACATCAATATAGATGAGGATCAGATTTGGAGGCAACTTCTATTAGAGGCTATGGGCATAAGTCGGATAGAAGTCGCATTGAAGTAGTACAAGAACCTTTTCTAAAGTTGGAGCGACTTCAGTATTGCTAATTAAGATGGCTTTCATTGACTAGCATGAGATTTCATGTCATGCGACTTGGTGTCTCATAAGTCGGATCCCAAGTTGTGGCAGTGTGAGCCGAGCCTAAGACATTCTCTGAAATGTAATAAATGACATTGCAGAGGGAGTTGCAAAGCCGCAACAATTTAGTATCGTAGGGCTAATGACATTGGGCATATACTTTATTACAGGTTCATACACATGGCTACAATAATCTGTTGTTAATTAGGACATTTGTTAAGAAAATATGATTCCTAAAGCTAAAAACAGCCAATCTTTAAAAAAAAAAAAAAAAAACTCAAAAAAACAAAACAAACCACTGTTTATGAGGTTCAAGTGCTTTGAGCAGTTAGGCATATGGGGGAGAATTAAAGCAGTATTAAATCCAAAAGCAAACATTTATGAAATTTGCAGCTCACCAATTCTTAGATGCAATGATTTTAAAAGAAAAAGCTTTTCAGTGGAATGTATTGGCTACAGGGATGAGAAAAAACATTTACAACTGGCAGGGGTGCAGTGATCTGCTTTTATGTGTTTATCCCACAAAAAAAATTTTGCTGTGACCGCTTATAAAGTGTTAGCTGGAGATTAGCTGTAATGTGTTAGTGTAGTTAAATCTGCTAGTACATCTAACACTCCCTTCCACCCAACCTGACAATGCTGCTGTCCAAAGGTGCCCCCTGTGCTCCTTCATCCAGAGCAGGGGCACTCTAATAAAGGAGATGTGTTACTGGCCAGATCACCAGGTGAAAACGAAGTGCAAGAAAAAGAAAACTGATGCAGCCTTCACATCTAATGATTGGTAAGCTGCAGTATAACACATTTTTGGTTTAATTCTGCCTTAAGCCTGTGAATGGCGCTTCCCTTTCTTGGTGAAATAAGGAGAAAGGCTTATTGCTCATAATGAAATGGGAGCTTTCTCTGCTCTGGGCGTGGTAGGATGTGCTGTTAAACAAGAAGATATGAGGATATGATTTTCTAAATATTAGGGTTTACATTTCAGTACTGCAAATGGATAACCACAGCTCCTACTCCGTATCTAGACAACAGTTAAAGTGTATCTAAACCCCAAACCAAAAATGCAATATAGTACAGATTACTTGGTTATGTGGCTGCATTAGTTTTCTTTTTTAAAGCTTTTCTTGCTTAAATTTCACCTGGTAATACAATACAGGAAGCATACACATCTATACAGCTGTAATTTGGTGCTCATGCACTATATTTTAATACATGTTTTTGAATTTACAGAGGATTGATTGAAGATTGATTGATGGGTTTGATGGTTAGCAGGATGTTTGCTGATACATCTATTTTTGCTTCACTTTATTGTTTTTTTTATATATTATTTACTTTCTTTTATTGGCCTTTGTTATTTATGCACTTATTAGCAGTGCCATACTACACACATTTTGCTTCTTTAATACAGAAAGTACACTTCCTGTCCCTCGGTGGCTACTTCACTCATTGTAACTTTGGAGGGCCATGGTTGTCACCCATATGGACTGAAAACATGCCCATATCTCTTCATGTCCATTACATGGGGTCTAGGGCAATTTAGTAGTTTACAGAAGATATCTAGGAAGGAAGATATTCTTCTGTGAAGCTCACAGGAAGTGATATGGATGCTTCATTTCTGGTAACCTCAACCAGTATTTTCTGTAGTTGCTGAAAATGTTTTTACAAAATACCATATGGACCGTGCATAAATGAAGGGAATTACATTTGACAATACATGAGTAATAATGCTTCACATATACACTGTGAATAATTGTAACATTCAGTCCAAATTTGGAAAAATAAAGTGCCCAGGTGTTGAATACTAATTGGTGAACTTGAAAAATGACAGGTGCTCCTCTGTGCTCAATCCGTGCCCCACATGGATGCGCACTCACCGTTGAGTGGTGACTTCCTGATGGTGATCCATTGATCAAAACTGGCCGAAGTTTGAAGACACAACTTCTGCTGACATCAATTCCGCCCTTTGGTTTGCATGTTGGAACACTGCGGCCATCTTGGTTCCTATTCACAGGCAGCAAGGTTGAATACACTGAGTGCCAGGTTATGGACACTTTGCTTGTGCGTTTTATTCTTATAATTTCTCCCCATTATTAATGTTTTTTTATGCTTTTACACTATGGGATGTTTGCTTTTGTTTCTGTTCACATGCTGAAACTTGGTTTACTGCCTGGGAGGAGAGGAGAAAATTTAAAAAGGCTCACTGTCATTTATATCCACGCTGGTCATCATCCTATTGGTTACTATCGGCCAGATCGCATGATTCCCAGGAATGAATATTGGTGCCATTCTTGTCATCACGCATTGGGCTAGTCCCAAACCAAGCGCTTAAGACCAACCTAGAGATAGGTGGGCCACGGCTAACGGTGAGTGTGAGTGCACATCCATGTGGGGAACTGATTTGAGCACAGAGGAGCACCTGTCATTTTTTGCACGAAGTTCACCAATTAGTATTCAACATCTGGGCACTTTATTTTTCCGAATTTGGACTGAATGTTACAATTATTCACTTTGTATATGTGAAGCATTATTACTCATGTATTGTCAAATTTAATGCACTTAATTTATGCACGGTCCATGTCAGAGATCCGGGTGTGACCAGAAGTGTGTGGACTGACACAGGGAAACGTAGGCTTCAGATATAGTAAATAATGTAATTTATTAAGACTAACAATACAAACGCAGTGCAAAACTAAACATAACACAGTGCAAACAAACTGAACCAAACCTCCAACAGATAACAAACATACGATACAAGAGTAGTCAGGCAGGCCGGGTCGGTAGCAAACGGGCAAACGGAGTACCAGGAGCAGGCGGGAGAGTGGTCAGGACTAGCCGAGGTCAGTACAGGCAGAGTTCAGGCAGCATCATCGGGAGGGCTCAGGGGGAGGGGGAGTGTCGGTCATGGAACTAAGCCAGATGTGAGGTCAGTTACCAGGCATGTGGCTTCAGGGACAGCAGAAACAGGATCAGGAAACCAGGGCCAAGCAAACAGTACAGCAAGGCACAGACTGCAGGTCTGGCCATCCCTTAAATCAGTGTTTCTCAACTCCAGTCCTCATGGACCCCCAACAGGTCATGTTTTCAGGATTTCCCTCAGATGAAACAGCTGTGGTAATTACTAAGGCAGTGAAACTGATCAAATCACCTGTGCAAAATAATGGAAATCCTGAAAACATGACCTGTTGGGGGTCCATGAGGACTGGAGTTGAGAAACACTGCCTTAAATACACCACCTGCAATCAGCCCCAGGTGATGGCTAATTGCCGAAGTGAGCCTCTGGTTGTTGAGAGCACCCGCTGGCCAGCCCTGGTACTGCAGCCCACAAGGCAGGTGAATCCCACCACTATTGGCAAGTCCATTCCTGACCGTCCACATGGTATTTTGTTTGTTTTTGTTATTGGTTCACAAATTAGGACTGCAGCGTATACTTATCAAAGTTGCATGAATATTTATTCCTAAGCGCAACAGCACTATATTTTATTGAAAATTGTTTTTAGCCTGAAAAAAGAAACAATGCAGCCACATCACCTAAGGACTGTAACTTGCAACATATTACATGCATGTTCTTGGGTTTAGTTATCCTTCTTTATTATATGCCCTCCTGACGTGAGGACGGGTTTGGTTATCATTTGAAGGCATATATCTCTTTAGCTTCCATAAAGAGTAACATTTACAAAGAAATACTGTAACTGGGGTATTGTGGAAAGAAACCATAGCTTTGTCTGTTTGTATACATAGGTGGCAGTCAACGGTGCTAACCTACAAAATGTATTCACACTGCTGTCTCTGGAGCCTATGCTGGCCAAAAAACCCATTCCTGGTGCTACACGTAAGGAGGACCAGCTTGGTGGCCGATGCCCTAAGGGAGCTGAGTATCCACTCTGACATAGATTTGAAGAAGCCTTTGAAGGTAAGAAAACATACCAAGACATCTTGGCAGAGGCATAAAAAAAACAAATATTAACAATACTGTTGTAACCATGGAAAAAAGAAAAAGTGGAGTTGTTGCCTGTAAGTAACTAGTGAATTTCAGGGTTGTGGTTTTCAAGTGCTGCTTGAAGGGTATGAAACTGTGTAGGGTCAAGAGCCTTCTTACTTCTTGGCTTGAAGTTTTTCTAGTTCAGTCTCTTGTGCACCAGTGGAAATCACTTCATTCCCACCTACAACTCTAAACAGTGAAGTGTTGTACAGTTATTTACCCAGTTCCTAATTTTTAATTTTTTTTAATCCGAACAACTTTTATTGTCAAGATAATAGAGAAAATGGAACAGTACTTACAGAATCCACAATGACATTACTGCAACAGCAGGATTACACATAAATAGAACAACATGGATACGCAGAGTCCGTAATAAACAGAATAACAGAAATGGTAATCAAACAAAACAGAGACTACAAGGATCCAAAACTTTCTTGACAATATCTTGCTTTTTCCTTTTTACGTCTTACCTAATTTTAAATAGTACTGAATTCCCTTCAGGCAACCATTGTGTTTATTATTATCTGTGAACCGTGTATAAAAATAAAATTGCGCACCAACCAGTAAGAAGACAAAGCTGTATGCACAAAAAAAAGAAAAAAAAAAAAACAAAAACTGTGTGTTCAATCCAGGATTGCTGTGACTGCGCTCAACACATTTCGTCATCAAAGAGAAAGTCAATGTTCCTGGATTGAACACATATTTGTGAACCGAAGAGACTGACCTCAGCTTTTGGTTGTGGTTTTTAGCTTTCTTCTCCCAGACAGCATTATCTGTGAACAGTGTTTTTTAAACTGAGTGGAGCAATTTTCTTTGCCATACATATTTTGAAAAGTATACCCTTCTCCTGGATATGTGATTATCTGAGGCAGTAAAGTGGCTGGGCTTTGTGGTTCCACAGAGTCATTACTTTGAGCTATATTAGACGGGCTGATCTAGTGAAGACAACTCCTGGCTTTTGTTAACAGTTCCTTCTGGGTCCTGGTGCCAGACTGATATTCAAGTTTGCCCTTGGTAGCGGGAGTCAATTAGTGGAGGTGAGCATTTGCCCTTCAGAGGAGACTTTCCTCTGGTGGAGCACCTCTGATCACAATTGAGTGGAATTATTGCACATTCAGGATTTGTCACTTTTTGTCATGATTTGTTACCACATGATATTTATTTTATTTGTGATGTCTTTATTTGAATGATACACATACACGCTTGGTTGTGTCAGCACTTTGGTTATCATATTTTTGCCATAATTCTTTTTTTGAAAGTTTTCAATAATGCAGCACATATTTCTCACACTCTCAATATTTGTGAACTGATCCATTCATGGACATTCATAGACACTGTACAGAGCTGATCCAAGTGGTTCTGTACCTTCAGATTGCTGCGATTGGTCATAAAGAGAGCAATCACATGATGTAAATGGCAATGTTTCATTCCTGTTTTTCTCCCCTTCCTTCATTGTAAGAGAAGGGGAGGGTTCCTAGATTTAATGACTGACTCATTCGTTAGTTGCTGAACACAGTACAATCAGGTCAACAGCATTTGCAAGTAAAGTTTTTACCCTCTCATACATATCCCCCATACATCTGATCTCTGCACTGTCCTTGTGTGGCCTCTATATTAACCCTTCACCTACCATCCTGTACATCTGTATGTTAACCCCTTCATCTCTGTTTTCCCACTGTATGCATTACATTACATTAACTTCGTCACCTCTTTCTCTGTGTATGATCTGTATGCGCTGTATCTCCTGCACCATCACCAAACTCTCCCCAAAACAAGCATGCTTCTTCATTTAATTTCCATATAAAATAAAAAAAAAAGAATGTAAGTAAAAACCGTTTTCTCCAAAGTTTTTGGTCTTTATTTCATATACTTAGTAAGATAAAAATACAGGTTATTAAATACCACCAAAAGAAACCTTTTATCTTTAAAAAAAAAAAAAAAAAAGTTAAAGTAAAATTCAGTGTTGCAAAAGCGAGTAATTTTCTGTTCACAGCACTGAAAAATGATCTGGTAATGAAGGGCTATTACAGGCTGGTACTCAAATAGAAGTATGTAACTCAAATAGGAGAGATGAGACTAAAATTGTCTCCCATGTTATTTCTGCATATTCCTTTTCTTTCTGCCATCACAATTCATGAATCTTCTTCTGTAGGTGATATTTGATGGTGAAGAGGCTGTGGATGATGGTGGAGTTAGTAAAGAATTCTTCCTGTTGCTTCTCAAAGAACTCCTGAACCCCATCTATGGGATGTTTACTGTTTATCCAGAATCCAACCTGCTCTGGTTTTCAGACATAGTAAGTATTTTAGCCATATACAGCCTGTTAGATGTTAAAGCAATTCTAAAGGTTCAATTTTTTTGGGGAAAATAACAAACATGTCTATACTTACTTGCTGTGTGCAGTGGTTTTGCACAGAGCAGCCTGGATCCTTCTCTTCTTGGGTCTCTCGCAGGCTCTTCTAGCCCTTCGCTCCTGTTGGGTGCCCCCACAGCAAGCAGCTTACTATTGGGGCACCCGCGGCTCCTTGTCTCCTTTCACACACACAGCCGCGGCTTGGCCCTGCCCCTCTCTCTCCACATTGGCCGACTGGCTATATGATTGACAGCAGTGGGAGCCAATGGTCAATGAGGAGGCAGAGACCCAGGACAGCCAAGGCTGTCATTCACATTGCTGCATCAGGATGAGGCTCAGGTAAGTATTGAGGGGGCTGGGGGAGCTGCTGCATACAGAAGGTTTTTTACTTTCATGTGTAGAATTCATGAAGGTTAAAAACTTCAGCCTTTACAACCACTTTAAATTGCTTGTTCTGTTTCTTAGGAAGTAGCTCTGACCAAAGAGATAATCATTTTAGAATATAGGACCTGTTTTACTTGCCAAAAGATTTGTAAAGCTTGCATGTGCTGTTGACATCCACCAAGCACTTCTGTGCAGTTTAGCATAAGCGCCATGCCACTATCCTACCTTTTTGTAATCCCATTTTGAGTTCTTTCCCTATTACAAGTCATGGGGAGCATCTCTCTCTCCTAGCTATTTGCCTACTGAGCAGGCTCTTCTACTGGTAGCCTGCATTTATCTATATGAGTAAGAGATGAAAACTGCAGAACAATGATGTGTATCTGTGCCTAAAGCTGGGTACATACACACAGTTTTTTTTTCTGTTCAACCCAGCAGACTGAACAAAAAAAATAGGTCACTGTTGAATATGTAAATAAGTGTAGTAGCCCAAACTACTACTGTGATGGGTGCAGTGTTCTGGGTACTGTGCCAAACGGCTGCCCTTCTGCATAGTAATCACAAGGGGTTGCAGACTCTGCATGGCTGCTATACAGAGAATGCCCTGTATTTTTCACAAGGAATGCAGCGCGGTCAAGAGGGGGGGCTGTGACCTCATCCAATCAATTAATGCTTTGCTTAATTGATATAAGTGCAAAGCCCTGTCTGAATGGTGGCCATGACCCCCTATGGTTGTTATGCAGAATCACTGCAGTGATTTACAGCTTCTTTAAGGACCAATCAGGTATCACATATGAATGCTTACTGTACATTGTGCCAAGATGGCCCAATGTAAATCTGCAAAATGTATCATTCCTGGAGTTCAGCTTTTAGACTCCTTTAACACAAGAGGTCCGATTGGATCTACCTGTCAGTTTTTCAGGTGGACCCGACTAGGCCCTCCATTCTCCTCTGTGGGTAGTCAGATGTAAATGGACTTGTCCATTTACACCCGGCTACCTCCGTTCTGATCTCGCAAAATCAAGTGGAAGGGGGATTCGTTCCCCTCTGCTTGGCTGGATTGGATCAGGGAGCAGTCGGATGTAAATGGACAGCAGATCCCTTTTAAATCTGGCTGCCCATAGAGGAGAGCAGGCTGTGTCCGTGTCTGCCCTGCACAAGCGGATCGGACACAGATCTGCCTTCCGGCAGCTCCAGTTTGCTCAACGGGATCAGTGGAAGGAACCCTGCTGAGCAAAACTGGATTTGGCCCATGTGAAAGGGGCCTAAGGCCACAAACAAGCTGAAAGAGCCAAGAGCAATAGAGATCCATGTGTACTCTCGCTCTAAGCTTTCCAAGTTTCAGCTTGTTCATTCATGCTGATTTTACATTTTGAATGGGCTGTGTTAATATTTTATATGTTGCAAATGAGGGAAAACCCATTGAAGTGCTTTATTAATAAATGATTGCTGGCATGACACTAGTTATACCCAAAGTATGCATATACAATGCATTATACCAGATGTCACTGAACTGCAAAGCATACCACAACTGCTTCCTGGAAAGAAACAGCCACATATGCCCCTTATGTACTGCACAGTGGCTAAATGGTTAGCACTTCCGCCTGGCAGTAATAGGGTTGTTGGTTCAAATCCCAGCCACGGCACCTCCTGCCTGGAGTTTGCATGTTCTCCCTGTGCCTGCGTGGGTTTCCCTCCGGGTACTCCGGTTTCCTCCCACACTCCAGAGACATGCTGGTAGGATAATTGGATCCTGTCTAAATTGGCCCTTGTATATGAATGTGAGTTAGGGACCTTAGATTGTACGCCCCTTGAGGGTTAGGGACTGATGTGAATGTACAATATATATGTAAAGCGCTGCGTAAATTGATGGCGCTATATAAGTACCTGAAATAAATAAATAAATGTACTGTACATACACAGTTCCGTTCCAAGGAATTCTCATAAAGCAAAATACCATAGGCCTCTGATGAAAGATGCTATTTACTGACTCCCCGACTCCATACTAGTTTAGCTTTGCGGTGAATATACCCAATGCTCTGGAGCTATTATAAATTCTGTAAATCAAGAAATGAAAGCTTCTATCAGTGGCTTTGAGGCATGTGTTGCCATTTTTTTCAGGTTCACTTTTAACATGGCTGTCTCCTGGCATATTTATCTCATCATCATTTTGTGCCTGCATTTGCTTGAGAATCCCTGTACTGGTTGCAATACACACCCTGATATTGAACATTTTTTACCACTTCTAAATATCACTGCCAGCTTGTGCTGCCATTTGTTCAGTAACTTGGACAAAAGCTGCCTGTGCCTTTTTGATATCCTATGAACATACTTTTGCAGCATAGACACTGGGAAGAGATCAGAAACCTTCTGGATTACTACACTAAAAAAAAAAAAAAAAAAAAAAAAAAAATGATTTCCTTTAAAGCTGGATCCACTAGCACTATCATGTATCCAATTCGAGGGCAAGGATAACACTTTTTTCACATAAGAATTTATATTGAATATTTTCAAAAGCAGTATAAAGGATCAACTACAGACATATTTACAATATGGAAATCAGTGAAACATTGATAAATTGTAATATTCAGAAGAAATGTTTAGTAGGATATAAAAACCTAAAATATAGTGTTATAAAGTGCTACTAAACCCAGGACCCTGCATTCACTATATTTGGTCTCCCACAGTACACACAACATGAATATGCATTCAATTTAGTAAATATAAACTGCTAAATATATTTCCTCATCAGCAGTATATAGCAGTATTGTTACTTCTATTAGTGTCCAGCTGAGCACTGATTAAAGCTTGTAGGCGTTTCCATTCTTCCATGACCCCTGACCCTCTGATTGGACAGTGCTGATTGGCCCTGTGCTGATCACATGCACCCCCCCCCCCCCCCAAAAAAAAAAAAACACTTTAGCAATACACATCAAGCTTCTGAGCATGTGCACAGTGTCTCCTAGAGCTCTGTACTATCAGCAGATCGATTGGAAGAAGGGGGGAATCAGAGAGCACAGGTTTAAACAGTTTTTACACCATGTGGAGGATTAACCCCTTAGGTTCCACAGTGAGTATAACAAGCATGCTTTACAGCATATACAGACTGATTTTACTGTTGTGGGTTTAGTAACACTTTAAAATGGAATAGTAGAGGGACAGACGCCACTCAAGACAAACCCTGGGAGTCAGATGAGTGGAATGGCTTCAGCCGCCGCTCCAGCCACGCCCTCTGGTGTATTACTCCCCACCCACCAGGACTTGGTCACAGGAGCTCCCTCTGTGACCAAGCCCCAGCCAATCCACTCATCTGACTCCCAGGGTTGGTCTTGATCAGTGTCCATCCCTCTACTTATCCGAAATTGCTGGAACCGCTTTGGGACGCTGCTTCCTCCTCTTCTTTTGCCGGCGGGGTGACTTCCTTTCATCTCCAGCTTGGAGGGGCGCCATCAAAGCTTCTCTACGGTCCACGTTTTAAATTGGAATGATTCAATAAAGAGGAAAGAAGAGGAAGAAGAGGGAAAGAGGGAAGAAAAAGAGGGAAAAAAAGGATACATTTTTACCCAGTCTTTAAAGCTACCAAAATGTACCACTTTTTACAAGTTGATTCTTAACTTGCTATTTTCTATCTAGTGTTTTGTAGAACATAACTGGTTCCACCTGATTGGCATCATGTGCGGCTTAGCCATCTATAATTTCACAGTAGTGGATCTTCACTTCCCACTGGTGTTGTATAAGAAACTCCTGAATGTTCCAGCAACTTTAGAGAGGATCTCAAGGAGTTGTCACCCACAGAAGGAAGGTATGTGTAGAAAACTGTATAGCAATGGCACACTTGGAAAAGTTAAATACTGGCGTAGACAATGAATCTACTGGTATATGGCCAACTTTGATCAACGGGTCAGAGTGCATTTCAGGCAGAGCTGCTGATTGACTAGAGATTGCTAGAGAGCAATAAATAGATTAGAAACGCCTTTATGCTCAAGTACAGTTAGGTGAGATGGCAAGAGGAATGGCATGGTTGACTTTAGGTTAGGGGTGCTCAATCTTTTGAAGAGTGACGGCCACTTAAATGATTTGGTAATCAATCATGAGCCACAATTAAATCACTGGTTGCAGGAGGAAAATGGAGAGGATCGGTTCCTGTATAAGCCACATTCACCGTCCCTGTCCAAGTGTAAAACAGAATGTGACAGGGAGGCTGAACAGGCCCCCTGGAGCATAGGATGGGGTCGCCTGTATATCCTGTCTTTATAAATCTGTTGAGTGGTCATGACCTGGATCAGAAGTGCTCAACGTTTTGAGGAGCGAGGGCCACTTAAGTGATTTGGTAACTGGTCGTAAGCCACAATGAAATGAAATGGATTAAAATTTAACATTTTTGATTAGAATAAAGAACATTTTCTTCCTGCAACTGCTGAATGCCAGTGGTAGGGAGAGGAGCGACAGGAGGAAAATAGAGAGGATCAGTTCCTGTATATGCCACATTCACCGCCCCTGTCCAAGTATAAAACAGAATGTATAAAAGATAATATGCGAGCGCTATCCGGAGCCCCTAGGGGGCTGCAGTATCTGGACGTCTGACCACCTCAGGTGGTCATCCTGATTAATATCTGGTCAGTGTTGCTTTTGCATTTTTACCTTTACTATACATGTTGTACCTTTTAAATAAACTCAGTTTATACGGTATCACACTATGTGGTGTCCCTTATTGGGCTCTCTTCTATGAGAGACCCCACTTGCAGAATCTGCTCTAAAAGGGGACCCCGGATGGTGACACGTTTGAGACACGCTTATGAAATTTGAAGTATATACCTAAGGTGTTATTGGAAGATGTAGGACCTTGTTCCTATCTTGGCCATTGATGATCGCTATCTGATACCACAGGATAAACCCTACATGCGTTTTTTTGACGCACTTCTGGTGAGTGCGCAATTTTTACCTCAGACTCACCGTGTGATACACAGAATCTCATCCCACTCACCTACTAGGATCTATTGGATCCCCACGTTTGACCTATTTTGGGACTTGTTCATCTCACTTAACTTCACCGCAGTGTGATTTGACATTTGCACTTTATTATATATGCTATGTATGCCATTTTACTATTATAGCGCTGCACCTTATATATGGTTTTAGATATATATATGTTTATGCATAAAACAGAATGTGACAGGCAGGCTGAAGAGGCCCCCTGGAGCATAGAATGGGGTTGCCATTGTGATCTTTGACGCTTCACCAATGGTTGGGAGTGTGTGGTAAAAATACGTCTCCCTATGGGGTTTAACCGCCTCCCAAACCACCAATGTAAACAAGCTCTTACTGTCCTGAGCTCCCTAATAAGGCTGCTTCCACACTGATGTGCTGCGGCTGACCTGCACCGCACCTGTGGTTTCCCTGTGGGTTAGCCGCGCTTTGCTATAGACTTCTATTATATCTTGCAGGTGTGGGGCACTTTCTGGAAGCTCACCACATCCGCAGAATATAATAGAAGTCTATGGCTCAGTGCAGCTAACCCGAAGGAAAGCCGCAGGTGCACTGCATTGCACCCGCGGATCAGTGTGAAAGCAGCTCAATAGTTGTTGACCCTTTTATAGGTGTTAATACGTCCATTGCAGAAGCACAGTGTATGTGATATTTAATACACTGACCTTCTTTTCCTCTTCCAGCTTGTGCTGGCATTGCATTTCAGGCTGCTAGAAAGGTTCTAGGTGAAAGGCACTTGGTATTGGGACAGGAGTTGGCGCTACAGAGGATGCATCGGCTTATGGGGCTCTCGCTCCCTTCATGGCTGCTTGCTTCCTCCGCTGCTAGTGCCAGCTGAATACAATCTGATGCTCTAGACCAGGGGTGTCAAACTGGCGGCCCTCCAGTTGTTGCAAAACTACAAGTCCCATCATACCTCTGCTTTTGGGAGTCATGCTTGTAACTGTCAATCTTGCAATGCCTCATGGGACTTGTAGTTTGGCAACAGCTGGAGGGCCGCCAGTTTGACACCTGTTCTCTAGGATGATGGGTTGGGAAGCCCAGATCGTAATCAATTGGTTGCCAACCCCAGGCATGTGCTTCCCTGGTTTGAGGTCATGGGCCATCAGAGGGCTCTGCGGGTCATGGGTTGTGCACTCCTGCTTTAAGTAGACCAGATAAAACAAGGGTTCAGATGTTCCCACCAAACTAAAGTATATAAATGAAAAAAAACAGGTGCTTGACTTACACTTTTATTATCTTTTTTAAGTGCTGATCATTGTGTTGTTTAATGAGTAGTGGAGTGATGTCGTGAGAAAAAAAGAAAACTTTCAATGATTCAGAACTATCTTTATTTGTTCTTATTTTTGTGTCTATAATATGTCTTGAAATGCTGTTACTACCTGTCTGTGCACATAGACTCTAATTCTTAAGCCATTCTTTAATTTTGTTTTAAATACAATCATTCTATCATTTTTGCAGGAGCCTACAACAACTTCTAGACTATCCTGGAGAAGATGTTGAGGAAACTTTCTGCCTTAACTTTACAGTAAGGATCCCTCCATTTTGAATCAATGATGTTACTGATTGTACAAGATGATTTTTCTGCTGATGTTTCTAATAATAGGGTATTGCTAGAGGATAATACCAGGTAGTAGATCACATTGTCTTATAACAGCGAAGTACATTTTCTGCGAAGGTTTCAGTGGAGTCATTCCAATGGATGTATCAAACAGACACTGATAACACAGGGGACCTGTGCGTAAGACACATTTAAATTAGAATGCAAGGACAGGTTAGGAGTCAGGCTTTTTCTGCTAAGAAATTAAGATCTTCACCAGCATGCCTTGAAAAATGATAATCTTATCCTTCGTTCATGTTAACCACTTCAAGTCCGGACACTTTTACCCCCTTCCTGCCCAGGCCAATGTTTTGCTTTCAGTGCTATCACACTTTGAATGACAATTGCGCGGTCATGCAACACTGTACACATATGACATTTTTATCATTTTTTTGAGACAGATAAAGCTTTATTTTGGTGGTATTTATTCATCACTGGGATTTTTTTTTTTTTTTTGCTATATACAGTCAGGTCCATAAATATTGGGACATGGACACAATTCTAACATTTTTGGCTCTATACACCACCACAATGGATTTGAAATGAAACAAACAAGATGTGCTTTAATTGCAGACTGTCAGCTTTAATTTGAGGGTATTTGCATCCAAATCAGGTGAACGGTGTAGGAATGACAACAGTTTGCATATGTGCCTCCCACTTGTTAAGGGACCAAAAGTAATGGGACAGAATAATAATAATCATAAATCAAACTTTCACTTTTTAATACTTGGTTGCAAATCCTTTGCAGTCAATGACAGCCTGAAGTGTGGAACGCATAGACATCACCAGATGCTGGGTTTCATCCCTGGTGATGCTCTGCCAGGCCTCTACTGCAACTGTCTTCAGTTCCTGCTTGTTCTTGGGGCATTTTCCCTTCAGTTTTGTCTTCAGCAAGTGAAAAAGCATGCTCAATCGGATTCAGGTCAGGTGATTGTCTTGGCCATCGCAGAACATTCCACTTCTTTGGTTGCTTTTGCAGTCTGCTTTGGGTCATTGTCCATCTGCACTGTGAAGCGTCCAATGAGTTGTGAAGCATTTGGCTGAATATGAGCAGATAATATTCCCGAAACACTTCACAATTCATCCGGCTGCTTCTGTCAGCAGTCACATCATCAATAAATACAAGAGAAGCAGTTCCATTGGCAGCCATACATGCCCACGCCATGACACTACCACCACCATGCTTCACTGATGAGGTGGTATGCGACGGATCATGAGCAGTTCCTTTCCTTCTCCATACTCTTCTCTTCCCATCACTCTGGTACAAGTTGATCTCGGTCTCATCTGTCCATAGGATGTTGTTCCAGAACTGTGTAGGCTTTTTTAGATGTCGTTTGGCAAACTCTAATCTGGCCTTCCTGTTTTTGAGGCTCACCAATGGTTTACATCTTGTGGTGAACCCTCTGTATTCCCTCTGGTGAAGTCTTCTCTTGATTGGTGACTTTGACACACATACACCTACCTCCTGGAGAGTGTTCTTGATCTGGCCAACTGTTGTGAAGGGTGTTTTCTTCACCAGGGAAAGAATTCTTCGCTCATCCACCACAGTTGTTTTCTGTGGTCTTCCGGGTCTTTTGGTGTTGCTGAGCTCACTGGTGCGTTCCTTCTTTTTAAGAATGTTCCAAACAGTTGTTTTGGCCACGCCTAATGTTTCTGCTATCTCTCTGATGGGTTTGTTTTGTTTTCTCAGCCTAATGATGGCTTCACTGATAGTGACAGCTCTTTGGGTCTCATCTTGAGAGTTGACAGCAACAGATTCCAAATGCAAATTGCACACTTGAAATTAACTCTGGACCTTTTATCTGCTCATTGTAATTGGGATAATGAGGGAATAACACACACCTGGCCATGGAACAGCTGAGAAGCCAATTGTCCCATTACTTTTGGTCCCATAACAAGTGGGAGGCACATATGCAAACTGTTGTCATTCCTACACTGTTCACCTGATTTGGATATAAATACCCTCAAATTAAAGCTGACAGTCTGCAGTTAAAGCACATCTTGTTCGTTTCATTTCAAATCCATTGTGGTGGTGTATAGAGCCACAAATGTTAGAATTGTGTCCATGTCCCAATATTTATGGACCTGACTGTAAATGAAAAAGTCCAAACATTTTGAAAAAAAAAAGTGTTTTTCTTATAAAATTTTGCAAATAAATAATCTTCATAAATATTGGCCAAAATGTATTCAGTTATCTTTTTAGTAAAAAAAAACAAACAAAAACAAATTGGTTTATAACCAAAAATTATAATTTTTTCAACAATATTTTTTACATTTTTATTTTTTTTTATATTATTTATTTATTTAACATACCGTCACCCTAGCAGTACAGTGTCACCATAGTGACACTGTAATGTGACACTGTAATACTTGTGGGGGGGTGATGAAGATTTTTTTTTTTTTTTTTTTTTTACACTGATTGCTTTTGCACCCATAAAGGCTGTAAAAGCAATAATTTCTCCTCTCTGGCTGCATTCTTGCAGCCATTGAGAAATACTGTGTGAGCTGTGATTGGTCACAGCTTGTCACATGGTGCAATGCTGTTTTGAATGACGTTGTACAATGTGACCTCTGTGATCATTCACAGATTTCACAAGTAGTAAGCAATGATGTCAGAAGTGACATCTTGCTTACTACTATTCATGTGATCACTGATTGGCCAATCAGTGATCACATGATCAGAACCTCACACAGAGGGCCCATACAATGATCAGTGTTCCGCTGAGTCTGGAGGACACAGCGGGCACCGGATCGGGGTGCTGCATGCTCCCAGGGAGCGCACACAGGCAAGGAAGTAGGAGGACATTTATAAATGGCCACCTGCCCCTGCACTGCTCCCGTCCAGCCATGGGCCAGACGGGTAGTGGTTAAAATAAATAAATAAAAAAGTTTCACAGGCCATGATGTTTTTTTTTTTTTTTTTATTTGATTGTTACATTGCTAAGGTGTTCTGATGAAGATCTTTATTTCTTTGTAATTAAATGGTGGATCCATCCACCACTTCACTGAAGAACACACTAATATAGGCAAGCCTATAACGCCTAGTACTCACGATGAGAATATCAGACAAAAAATACTGCTTTCGGAGCGATCGTCTGATAATCTGATCATTAGTACACAGCTTTCAAGAGACGATCATGACAGTTCATGCAAAATTTTCCAAGTTACCAGAACGAACGATTTTCATTTAATCAGTACAGTATTCATCCAAAAAAAAAACAAGTAACCAAGAAAACAAAAGAATGCATTACAATACAATATATTGCATCACTTCCAAAGTTGTATTCTGTCATATGAGAATTTTTGTAACTTTAGTAACCTCTTCATTTTTGATATGAGACTAGTGTGCAAAAAAACCCGTATGATCATTCGTCTGATATTCTCAATATGTGTATGAGGCATAAGGTGTGTGAGACAGATGCAACACAACTATTCTGAAGCTTTTATTGCCACCTGTGTCCACAATGGGGAGATTAGCGCTCTCTGTTTGTCCTGGTGACCATGGTCACAGGGACAGAAAATGAGGGGAAATTTATATTTTCAAGTTATCACCGCATTGGGAGGTGAGAGATCTTCCAGTGGAAACACCTATAATTATGACAGTTGTTTAAGAGGGGAATTTCCCACTGACACAGAGACACAGACCACAATAAAACATTGCTGGGGGTCTAATGATTCCCTATTTTCTTAAAAACAAAAAAAGTTTGAAAATGTTATTTGTGGGCACTGAATATGTTTGTGTATTTAGATATGTCGGGAAAGTTATGGCCTGGCTGAAATGAAACCCCTGCTACCTGGAGGAGACAAAATGACTGTAGGCAAGGACAACAGGTATGTTACCTGAAAAGACTGTGTGTACAAATGACTGGGGAAGGCTGTAAATCCATCCCAACAAGTGGTTGTAAATATTTTCTATCAAACCTCTTATGTTAATTTTAATATAATGTACTTTTCAGTCTTTTTACATTTTTTCCTTTCATTAAAATAATACCTGGAAATCTTGTCATGAAGGTCATTGTTCAGCCATTTTCTGTTGTAGTGTGACAACTCTCTGTCCTAGTCTGACAATTGCTTTCCTGTGTTGTCGCCCTGTTTGTAGCATACACATGACATATTTGTTTTGTTTTTGTACTGTATTTAGATCTTGTGATCATTTTTTTTTTTTTTTTCTGTATTTCTAGGCAGGAGTTTGTTGATGCTTATGTCAACTACGTCTTTAACCAGTCAGTGCAGGAATGGTATGAGGCATTCTCTACAGGATTCCTAAAAGTCTGTGGTGGGAAAGTGCTGGAGCTGTTTCAGCCATCTGAACTGAGAGCCATGGTTGTTGGAAGCAGCAACTACAACTGGCAGGAACTGGAAGAGGTGAGCATGAAGACATAGGATGCTGAGGCATCACGGGTGACTTTACACTAGGCTCTTCAAACAAACTGTGGTCAATCCAAGAGTTGATCACAGACAGGACAGCCATCATAAATTCTGGGGCCCTTACACAGATTTAGTCCTGGCAACCCCCCCCCATACCAACCCAATCCCCCCCTCCCCCAAGCCTGACCATGAACATTCCCCAGGGCATGCCTACTGGCCATCCCACCGAGTCCTCCAGTGCACCCACTTTTATTTTAACACTCTTACAACTTAATATATGAAAATGAAACGTGTATTCCGAGTCATCAGTGCACCTACTGTATAAGACCCCCTTCCTCCCCCCCGACATCTACGAACCTCTATATAAGACCTCCAAATACCTACCTACCTCTATGTAAGACCCCCTGACATACTACAGGAGACGGTCAGAGACTGCAGACATACTACAGGAGGCGGTCAGAGACTGCAGACACACTACAGGAGGCGGTCGGAGACTGCAGACATACTACAGGAGATGGTCAGATACTGCAGACATACTACAGGAGATGGTCCGATACTGCAGACATACTACAGGAGATGGTCAGAGACTGCAGACATAGTACAGGAGGCCGTAGGAGACCGAGGACATACTACAGGAGACGGTCGGAGACTGCGGACATACTACAGCAGACGGTCAGAGACTGCGGACATACTACAGGAGACGGTCAGAGACTGCAGACATAATACAGGAGACGGTCAGAGACTGCAGAATACTACAGGAGTCGGTCAGAGACTGCGGACATACTACAGGAGGCGGTCGGAGACTGCAGACATAATACAGGAGATGGTCAGAGACTGCAGACATACTACAGGAGACAGTCAGAGACTGCAGACATACTACAGGAGTCTTTCAGAGACTGCGGACATAATACAATACAGGAGATGGTCAGAGACTGCGGACATAATACAGGAGACGGTCAAATACTGCGGACATAATACAGGAGATGGTCAGAAACTGCAGACTTAATACAGGAGGCCATCAGAGACTGTGGATGTAGTACAGGAGATGGTCAGAGACTGCAGACATAGTACAGTGTACAGATATTAGTGTAAAGGAATCAAGGTTGTTAGATAGGGAATAGCACCTGGTGTATGGGCACTGGGCAGGAACACTCAGTCTGGCTGGTATACATTAAAGTGATACTAAACCCAGGACCCTGCATTCACTATATCTGGTCTCCCACAGTACACACAACATGGAAATGCCATTATTTTAGTAAATATAAACTGTTAAATACCTTTTCTCATCAGCAGTTAGAGCAGTCTTGTGACTTCAGCAGAGCACTGGTTAAAGCTGCTTGTAGGAGGAGTTTTCTTTCTGCTCTAGGAGCATGTGAAACCTCTGACCCTCTGTCTGGACAGTGCTGATTGGCCCTGTGCTGATCACATGCACCCTCCCAAGAAAAAAAAAACCCTCTAGCAATGCACACCAAACTGAGCATGTGCATGTGACTACGGATTCATTCTGATCCTTTCTTCTCTTCTCCTCCTCTTGTTGAAATGACCACCTGATACAAACAGCCTATTTTACACAATGCAGAGGATTAACCCCTTAGGTTCCACAGGTAGAATAACCAGCATGCTTCACTGCATATACAGGCTGATTTTACTGTTGTGGGTTTAGTAACACTTTAAAGCAGAGTTGCACACTAAGCTGCTGGGCTGGCGATCACTGTCACTGACCTGCTTCACACAATGCAGGTTGCTCTGAGTCCACTCTGCAGTGCACTCTGTCTGCCACCTCCAGCTCTGTTCAGCACTGTCTGACTTGCTGTCCCTCATGGCCAGGATGTGGACTGTTGCCCCAGCCCTTCACTGAAGTCCCCAGGAGGAGAAGTGCCTGAGGCGGCTGCCGCTGCCATCTTCCCTGTGGGTCCACTATCCCTCTCTTAATCCTGGCCAGCATTTGAGTCCTCTCCCAGTGGTGCATCAACCGCCGGCAGGAATGCAATGGTTCACTGCCTCCTCCGGGCTTAACCCCCCTCTTATCTGCAGCTTAATCTGTGAGCACCTCCAGGGGCGGACTGAGCCTCTCATATGGTCCACTATGGACCCTGAGCCTTTGGGCAGTGCCCAAGGGCCCAAATGGTCAGTCTGCCCCTGGTTGGAGCCCAGGCCCCTCGGGACACCCAGGCCCTCTACTTGTGTATGGGCTGTCCTCCCCTGATGGCGTCAGTGGTCATAGATATGCAGTGGGTATTTGTGTGTGTGTGTATACTGTATATACAGTATGTACTGAAAACGATCTAAAAGTACTTTTCAAATCAAAACGTATATCTAATTGAAAGACAAAGGCAAGGCCTCATGATTGTGTGTTGTTTTTTTTTTTCTAGAATGCCATCTACAAGGGTGACTATTCTGCAGAGCACCCAACGGTGAGGATGTTCTGGGAGACATTCCATGAATTCCCTCTGGAAAAGAAGAAGAGGTTTCTGTGTAAGTTTATGCATTTAAAGGTTTTCTTTTTCTTGGAAGAAATTGTGCAGGTGTACTGCATATAGAGCGTTGTATATTTAAAGCAGAACTAAACCCATCAATTTAATGGTTTCCCAAAACCAGTTATATTCCATGCATGCTGTGATTGATAAACTGATAATAATGTAAAAGATGATGTTAGATCGAGTAAATAGATACCAAACATATCACACTTTGAAATTCTGCATGCCCCTGCAACGGCAATAAACAATGTAAATTTTACTATCCATGGGTGACGCTTTAAAAGCCTTTTACAGGTTACAACCTTCGATTTACAGGGGAAATCTAGTGCTAGAATTACTGCCCATGATCTGATTTTCACGGTGACACCTCACGTGTGTGGGATGATCACTATTTGTGCGCATGTGGAGCCGATGCATGCATTCACCTTTCACGGGGGGATGGGGCACTTTAAATTTTTTTTTGATTATTTATTTTATTTTTACACTGTTGCTTTCTTTTTTTTTTAATCACTTTTTATTGCTGTCACAAGGAATGTAAACATCCTTGTGACAACATTAGGCACGTGGCAGAGGTACTCTTTATGGAGGGATCTGAGGTCTATAAGACCCCAAATCCTTCCTCTGCACTTAAAAAAAGCATTCAAAACACCAAGCTCGGTTTTTTTGAATGCTTTTGAGTTTGTAAAAATGGTGCCGTTGACATCCGGGTAAACCGGAAGTGATGACAGGTCATTGCTTCCAGGTTACCACAGCGGAGAGCCTTTCAAAGCCGATTCCGGCTTTGTTCTGCTCTCCGACCATCCGGCAAAGCGCCAGCTGAACGCTCAGGTCTCCTGGTGGGATGGGAGATCCTGAGCAAGTGGCGGGAGGGGACATCCACTCCTGCTGCTTGTAATAGCAATCGAGAGGCTAGTTAGCCACTGTGATTGCTATTACAAGAGAGCTGACCGCTGGCTCTAAAGAAATGGTACCAGGGTGATACTTACAGCTGCGATCCGGTGCTGAATACTGATCACTATACAGGACCTCTGTGTGAGGTCCCGATCATGTGATCACTGATTAGCCAATCCGTGATCACATGAATAGTAGTAAGCAAGATGTCACTTCTGACATCATTGCTTACTATTCGTGAAATCTGTGAATGATCACAGAGGTCACATGGTACAAGGCTATTCACAACAGCCTTGTACCGTGTGATGAGCTGTGACCAATCACAGCTCACACAGTATTTCTCAATGGCTGCAAGAATACAGCCAGAAAGAAGGGGAATTTATTGCTTTTACAGCCTTTATGGGTGTAAAAGCAATCAGTTTAAAAAAAATAAAATAAATCTTCATCACCCCCCACAAGTAGTACAGTGTCACTATGGTGATACTGTACTGCTAGGGTGACATTATGTAAAAAAAAAAAAACAAAAAAAAACAAACAAATAATATAAAAAAAATTAAATAAAAATGTAAAACATTTTTTTGAAAAATTATAATTTTTGGTTATAAACAAATTTGGGTTATTTTTTTTTTTTACTAAGAAGATATCTGAATACATTTTGGCCAAGATTTATGAAGAAAATTATTTATTTTCAAATTTTTATTATAAGAAAAACACTTTTTTTTTTTTCTTCAAAATGTTTGGACTTTTATATAGCAAAAAAAATTAAAATCCCAGTGGTGAATTACGACCAAAATAAAGTTTAATCTGTCTCAAAAATTGCTAAAAAATTCATATGGGTACAGTGTTGCATGATCGCGCAATTGTCATTCAAAGTGTGATAGCACTGAAAGCTGAAAATTGGCCTGCACAGGAAGGGGGTGAGAGTGTCTGGACTTGAAGTGGTTAAGTAGTATACTGGTTTGTGTACGCAGTATATTTAAAGGTTACCTGATTAGTTGTGAACTTCTGTAAGTGTAATCCATTCAAGCCTGAACTGTTGTCTTTTCAGTGTTTCTCACTGGCAGTGACCGTATACCTATCTATGGCATGTCCAGCCTACATATCATCATCCAGTCTACATCCAGCAGTGATGACTACCTGCCTGTTGCACACACATGCTACAACTTACTGGACCTGCCTAAGTACAGCAGCAAAGAAACCCTCAGGAAAAGACTCAATCAAGCCATAGACCATTATGAGGGCTTCAGCCTAGCTTAAAAATTAGCCCTTTGTTCCCGAGCTTCCCTCGATCAAAATGCACTTTACCTCTTATGGGCTTATTTAATATTAATGTAAGATACACCCAATGTTGTATACATTTAAAAGAAATTCTCCTCTTTCTATTTTTGTAAAGGAACCAAAATGTAAAAAAAGAAAACCCATATGGAACTGTTTCTTAACTATTTCTTGAAATTTGCAACGTTTTCACCTTTTTTATAATTCCGTTGCCTCTCTTTTGCTTTGATCTTATTTTGTTGTTGGCAAATTTGACATTGGTTTGGTGAAAGCGGTTTTATCAAAATGTGACATTTTTTTTCAGCTTTGCTAAAGCAGGACTGGGCAGTCTATTTCTTATCCAAGCTTTTCTGTGAGCACTGAGCGTTTCATCCATCAAACTAAATAGTCGTTTTAAATCAGTATTGAAATTGCAGGTTTGAGCGTTGTATCCTTTCTGGAATCTTTTGATCAAGTCTAAGCTGGTGTTCTCTGTTGGAGTTTCCCAGTTGCTGTTCTCTTTCTCTGATGGTGGTGGGTTCTCTTCTTTGAAGGAACTGTTGGTAGAAGCTGGGAAAGTACTGCAATGTTTGCTGTACTTTCCTTACTCATGCTGATTTGTTCATATGGAAAGCAGCTGCAGCCTACATGAATAGGTGGTGCAGTGATGAACAACAGTTATTGGCTAATTACAACAAAAGACCCCAGAAAAGTAATGGATATGATTCTAAGTTGGATAAAATGCCCATAATTAATTTTTGGTGGACCCATCTTATATATACTATTTTTTTTTATACTATACCCTCCCGTGCAGAACACATACAGCGCTGGTCTAGAATTGGCACGCACCTTGATCCTGCAGTACAGTGCTCAGTGTAAATGAGTTCACCCCAACAGCTTTGTCAGAAAACCTTTACTTTTCTTTCAGAATCAACATTTTCTATGGGACATTATACTGCAAAATACTCCCACAAATGTGAGCCATTGATTGCAAACAAGATTTGTTAATTTGTACACACAACAAAGTATTTTTCCTAACAATTTCATTCAAGACCATATTGCGAAAATGAATATACCCCAATGAAAGGAGCAAAGCTAAATTTCAGACAACAAAATTCTAATTAACATGAATTCAACTACCGGTCTAATTATTCTCTAAACAGGTGTCCAGCAGACAGCTGATTATAAAAGGGCGTTACTCAAAGAAAATCCCTTCCCTGTCCGCAATGGCACCACATCGAAGAGAAATGTCACAATGCCGGAGAAAGAAAATAATTTCATTACAAAAGGAAGGTGAAGACTACAAGAAGATCAGCAAAGCTTTACTTATCAGTCAGAATACTGTAGCAAAAGTGATACAGAAATTTAACAAATATGGAACTGCAACCATCTCACAGAGACGTGCAGGCTGTCCATGAAGGTTAACACCTTGACAGGAGCATCTTCTGATGAGAAGGGTTGAACAAAATTGCCATGCAAGTTCACTGCAGTTAGCTAAAGAAGTAGAAAGCCAAATGGGGGTGATTATTTCCCGAGACACACTACAACGTACACTGCAGAGAAATGACATACATGGGTGTCGTTCATGAAGGAAGTCTCTCCTAAAGCCCATGCAGAAAAAGCCCACCTAGAATTTGCCAGGGCCCATGCAGAAAAAGAAGAAGAGTATTGGGACTCTATACTCTGGAGGGATGAGACCAAGATAAATGTTTTTGAAACAGATGGCTTCAAAACTGTATGGCATTGCAAAGGTGAGGAGTACAAAGAAAAATGCATGGTGCCTACAGTGAAACATGGCGGTGGCAGTGTCCTTCTGTGGTGCTCCATGAGTGCTCCTGGTGTCGGGGAGCTGCATTTCATTGATGGTATCATGAATTCACAGATTTACTGCTCTATATTGAAAGATGCTACCATCACTCCGCCCTTGGTTGTTGTGCACTTTTCCAACATGACAATGATCCAAAACACACGCTGTTGCATTTCTGAAGAAGAACATGGTGAAAGTTATTTAGTGGTCAAGTATGTCTCCTGATCTGAACCCAATCGAACACCTATGGGGAATTCTGAAGAGACAAGTTAAGCCTCACTCTCCATCCAGCATCCCGGCTCTAAAAGAGGTCGTTCTTGAAGAATGAAAAAAGATAGATGTAGCAATATGTCACCAACTTGTTCATTCCATGCCTAGAAAATGTAGTGCTGTCCTTACAAATCATGGAGGTCATACAAATAAATACTAGCTGTAGTAGTTTTTATTGTAAGGTGTATTCATTTTTGCATCAACTAATTTGAGTAAAACTGAAGATTTTGTAATCTAAGTAATATTATTAACCTAACTTTTATGTAAAGAGCTAAACAAATGTTCTATAAAACTCAGTTTTGTTACAATTTTGGAAATTGTTCATTGAGATATTGATGAAAATCTTACTTTTCAAAAGAGGCGTACTCCTTTATGCTGAGCACTGTAAATTACATTTGCAGTACAATTTGGATAGACCTGCAAAAACCTTCCATGTTTTACCTCACTGAGAATGGATTCTACTAGATCAGTGCAGTATTGTCTAATCACATTGACTTTCCCAATCAATATCAGATCAAGCGTTTCAGCTCAAATTTATCAGACAAATTTGTTCACACATTTTCTGAACTTCATGAACTATATCTTAAAGTTTTATGTTATGAGTATTTGTAAACATAAAAATTACTGGCTGCCATGTTTGAATGAATGACTGTGATGCAATTTAAGGGAAACAACTTAACATTTCTTTGAATAATGTAGTTGTATTATATTGAAACATTCAAATAAATTTTTTTTTTAACTCTGGTGTTTCTTCATGCTTTACCTGAAGACATTGAAAGCTAAACAACAAAAAATGGCCTCTTCCATGTGCCAATTTTTAGCTCTAGTTTGAAAAAGTAGGAAGGGATGTGATTTGGTATGAGACATACTTTTCTTCAGATACTGAATATGATTATTGTAAAGGATTACTGGCTTTCTTTAAAGTGAACCTGTTAGGACAGAAATACAGGAGGTGGTGTTACACCTGTGGAAGGCACCAATGCGCCATCCCATGATGGCTACACAGGACCTCCGTATGGGGGAGGTCACATGATACCCAGAAGCTCCACTTCTTTATAGTGAGGGAGAGGGATTGATGAGTATAACTTGTTGGCGGAGAAGTCTATCGGGGGATGCTGTCACTTTGCATGAATGGATCAGAATGGCGGCCTCTGAGCATGCATTTTTAAAAATAAAGTACGAACCCATATATTAGAACAATTCCAGCCAACTAGTGAAATCGATATGCTAACTGGTATGCTATCTAGGTAACATTTGTAGCTGTACAAAGGATGAACAATTCCTCTCAGTTACCCAAAGGGAATGTGAATAATTTTCTCAATCTGTGTTAATGGTTTAACCATTGCCAGCCCAAAGGATGTACCTGTACACCCTTGAGAACAGCAAGTGGCTATATCCAGGATCATGGGGGCAGCTGCAGCCATGATCCTTGTATCAATTTTTACAGCGAGCAGCCTGCTTCCAGGTAAAAGTGATTCAAATGGTTGTACATTCACCTTTTACAGGGATCAGAAGGCCACCCATTGCTGTTTCTCAGCTCTCCTATCCCATTGTGGAGCACAGGACCTCTTCAAGTGGTCCGATTATCTGCAAACAGAGGAGCAGAAACATCCCCCCCCCCCTTTGTGATGAATGAAGCCAGAGGCTACGTGTATTATGCCACTTCTGGTTTTGGTTCTTTGGCTGCCTCACTGGTCAGTAATGGCCAGTAAACAATCAAACCGATCTGTGTTTGATTGGCTACCTTGGAGGGCAGAGGAGAGATCAAGGGTCTAATAGACCCCAGATCCCTCAATACCTGTTACTGCCCAGGATATCACAAGGGATGTTGTTCATTTCTTGTGATATCTTTAATTTAAATCAGAAACAGTTATTGATAAGTATAAAAATAATTAATAAAATTAAAAAAATGTAAAGCACGCCCGTCCCCTGTGCTCACACGCAAGTACAAATGAACTTGTAGGTCTCACACGCATATAGTGATTGCACCTTATGTGAGGTGTATCCGCGAATGTCAGAGTAAGAGCAATAATTCTAGAGCCAGTGCTCATGTTTACCTAAAAAAAAATCTCCATAGGTGACCTTTAACCAGTTTAGAGTTACTGTAGTTTACCATTTCACAGGTGTGTGAAATTTTAAATCTTGACATGTTTGGGATTTTACTAGGTGCAATATTATCTTTTATATTTTACCGAAAATGTGATATTATATTGTGTTCGTGTGCATTAAAATTTGGTGAGAGCTGATCTCCAGGTTTTCTGTGACTTTAATTAGTTAATTTGCACAAAGCTGGTCCAACTGAACTATTTCCTTCACTAAGTGCTAAGGGCTCTAAGCACTCTATGTACTGCATGTAGCTTCAGCTACATACAATACACAGTGCTGGGTTCTAGCTGTGAGACAGAGACTTCCCATCTCGCAACCGGGACAAAAAAGTCGGTCTGAGTTGTGCTCAGCCATTTATAGGCAGCTTTGTATTCTGTGAATGAATACAAAGCTTCCTCTGGCTAAGGCGGATAGGTGGGCTGATGATGTCAGGCTGTCTGATTGTCAAAACTGCAAACTCCATATGTACTGGAACTGTGACTCACCTGGTTAGTTAAGGATGTGGAACTGCCAATCAGATTTTTTTTATTTACAGTTTGAGTGTTATTTTACAAAAAAATGAACCCCAAACATGTCTACATTTACCTGCTGTGTGCAGTGGTTTTGGACAGAGCAGCCTGGATCCATCTCTTCTCGGGTTGTCTGCAGGCTCACCTGGCCCCTCCTTTCTATCGGATGCCCCCACAGCAAGCTGCTTGCTATGGGGGCTCCCACTGCTCCGTGTGTCCATTCACACACGGAGCCGTGAGTTAGCCCAACCCCTCTCTTCTCATTGGCTGGCTTCAATGGCTTCCGTTTGCTGTCTCAGTCAATGAGGAGG